ACAATTGCTCAGCTTACGGATGTAGCAAGCTTGTATCATCCAGAATCTGATAGCCACACAACAATTTTTACAGACAAAACAGGCATTGTAAAAGCTGCAAGGTTGCTTCTCTCTTCTGTGACAAAGGTGCTTGTGTTAGCAGACCGAATAGTTATTAAGCAGATTATAACTTCCAGAAACAAGGTATTTGTAGCTTTTTTTCTTTTCTCTTTTTTTAACTGGTGTCTGCAGTGAATACAAAGGAATGGGTTCTAAAAGAACTGGTGTTTTCATGCTATTTCTAGGGAAAGTGCAAAATAAAGTGATTAAAGTAAATGTCTTATGTACATTTATCTCTAAAATATGTGACATGGTGGTAGGTCGGCAGGGATAAAATCAAAATTCGTGGTATGCTTTTATGTTTCGTGTGACCAGACTAGCATCACTCACTTAATCTGTTGTCTGCTTTATGCTGTGCATTATTGTCTGGCCACTCAGCGTTCGCTTGAGTCCAAGGCTCAGAAAATACAGTGCCAGTTTCACGTGCCCCAGTTCGGCTGTAGACTGCACTAGCACTGATTTGTTGTTTCAGTAATCTCTCCTTCTCCCAACGGTTGGTGAAAGTGGTGGCAGTTCCATCAGTGTTCATTTGCAATAGCTACTTAGAGATTGTGTTTTTCTTGCAGCAGACACCAGAGTTGTTGCCCTAGGACCATTTGCTGCCTTTTCCTGCCTTTTGTGGCCATGTGTTCAGCGTACATCCATAGCCATGCAGTGATCTGAATTAATTTTCCTTTTTATAAAGTGGCTGGTTTTAATACACATTTAGGCTACAGAGCACAAGTGTTTGTATCACAGAGGAATAAGGAGTCATGTGTCCTTTCAGCCACAGGGCATGGTTAATGATTGCTTTAAATATATGTGAAAGTATTCTCCTGCTCACTACAGAAGCGTGAATACAGCAAGAATAGGCATAGAAATACAAATTAATTCTGAAGGTATTTGACTATTTAAATTAAAGTTTAATATTCCAAACTAAGTGTGTCTAACTGCCGTGGTCACCCTAGTTTTTGTGGTCTTTGGGGATTTGCAGTATTCTCCTCTCTAAGCATAACGGTTTTGAGAATGTCTGGTTTTGTTTATGATACTGGTAGGGCAGTTCACATGTCTAGGATCAAGCCAAACAAATGACACCTTACACAGACAAATATATGTCTTATACATTCCTAAAGAGCATACCAGAGAGAACTGTGATGGGCAGAAAAGCTTTTTTTTGCCATAAGAAATACAGCAATAGAAGGGGCATGTGGACAGGATCTTAGTAAGTACACATATATTATATACTCAGGGACAGCATAGTGTATATATGGTGTAGAGAATGGAGAAGCAGGATTAGTATTAGCCAGCACGTGCTGGCTTTTGAAGAGGAATACTATGACTACGTCTCAGCTGCTCCATCTGAGACTGTGCGCCTGATATTAAAAGGTTATTGCTAGTTGTCTGACTCTACAGTTGTGGAGTTAGGTTTTAAAAATATATATGTCTCAAAATGAACTTTTAAATTGACGTTTTCTGCATATGGGTATTATCTATATATTAATTTTGAGTACTTGCATTTTAAAATTTAATACGACAGTAATATTTTTCTTAAATATGGAATTTTGTAGGACTGTTAATCTTTATAGTGGGAAGAGTGAGGAAAAGGTTTTTTGAGGTGTCAGAATTAATGAGCCATTTTGAAGGAAGTGTCATTATTTATACTTGATTTCTAGCCTTTGAGTATTTAATATTTAATTTTCAACAAGATGTGTACATTTTACTCCCTCTGCTTTAGAAGTGTTTGCAAATAATAAAGTTCCTAATTTGGGTAATAATATTTTCTGTTTGGTATTTGTGGTAATCTACAGGATTTTTCTTTACAGGTTATTGCAACAATGGAACAACTAGAGAAAGTCAGTACTTTCCAGGAGTTTGTGCAAATATTCAGCCAGTTTGGAAATGAAATGGTGGAGTTTGCACATTTAACTGGGGATCGACAAAATGTAAGTACTAAAAAAAAAAAAGTGAGAAACATTAAGTATTGCTTTTCATCTGATTCACTAGAAGACTGGGATTCTCCTGGGATGATTAACTGTTACAAACCAAAACCCTAGGGTCCAGTCTCTGAAACCTAACTTTTTCTCCTTGCTCCATCCAAACAGCATCGTTTGACGTTAATGCTCCCACTAAGCGACATTGCTGGGTTATTTGCTCTGGGTATCTTCCAGTAGCCTGGATGGATGTTATCTGAGCTTCTCCAGATATCCTTTGTCTTCTTATCTTTTCCTCTAGTTGTCTGACTTGTTACTCTGATACAAAATTTGTCTGCTGTTACTTCACAGAAACATTTACGTGTAAGGAAAGACTTTAAAACAGACTTTAAAAACAGAGTAGTTCCTCAAAAGAAGATGGCTTTAGATCCTAATAAAGTATAACAATGTATTTTTTCTCTATTATGGAGCATTTTTCTAGGCTAAGGTCAAAATGTATATATGTCAGTGTGGTGCTCTTTCCTTCTTGCATCCAGTTCCTCTTTCCAAAGTCTCTTTTATTCATGGAGTAAGCTTGTGACTTCTGTTGTACAATATTCTTTAGAAATTCATTTGTTTTCTAAAACAGCTGGCAGGAACTTGCTTTTATATCCTTCTGTTGCTTTGAATTACCTACCTCATTAGTTCATTTACAAAGGTACCCGGCTGATCTTTATTGTTTAGGCATCAGTTCATGATGGAAATCATGGTAATCAAATTCATAGTTGAATTCCTCATTCGTAGTTGAACTAGAGATATGATATATATTTACAGAGCTCCTAATATCAAAGAGAACTCTGAAACTATGTATAAATGAATTACTCAAACTGATGCTTATAAAAACTCCTAAGACTCCTAAGAATATTCTTAAAGAACCAGATATGGAAAAGCTACATATAATTAAAGGAAATCCCTCCTGGAGATGGACTCTTTATTTTTTCTCTGAAATATTTGTAACAGCTGTTCCTGGGAAAGAGAAAGATGAATTTCTATTAAGTGATACTTGTCCCAGCTATTTTTGATTTTCAGAATTAAGTGGGGGTTTGGCTTTCCTCTTTCTCACTTGAGTCTTTTGGAAGAGCATTTCATTAATATGTTTTAAATTCTGTCAGGACTTGATGCACTTATTTTACAGTATTAAGGTTGCTGTGTGGAGTTGTTAGTTTTGGGAGTTTATCTCTCAAGGTATATTTCCCAATGTTCGAATAATTCTATGTATGCCAGCAACTCTTGAATGTGGTCAGATTTCCCAGAATATAACGTAAGAATTTGAGAAACAAGCTGTTTTTTTTTTTTTTTTTTTTAAAAAAAGGTGATGACCTCAAAATTTCAAAGATTATTCTGAATTCATTAAAGAAGTGGTTCTCTTCTTTTCTTTTTTATGGCAAAATGGAGTGCTGTCATGATCTGTGTTTTATTTTATTTTATTTTTTTCTTTTAAATCAGGTTGTTTAATTCCATCCTGTAGTAGTTCTTAATGAGACACAAACTTGATTTGAAATACAGGATTGTAAACCTGTAAAACCTTTCCCACCCTCTTCACTGTCACTTTCTTAATCTTTCGGGGCCTAGCCAGCATGGGAATGTTTTGGTTTGGATCTGTTTTGACGTACCTCAGTAAATCCAGGTTGTTTCTTGTGCCCACACCAGTGTGTGTGTGAACCTGTGGTCCCAAGGACGGGGCCGCGGTGTGTCCTGGGGGACTTGGGAGGATGGTCCCTCTCGGGAGCGACTCTGACACGGCTCTTGGGGAGCTATTTGTGTCGTCCTCTGAGCGGCTCTGAGGCTCTTCTCTTTTCAGCCGATAACACCTTTGTCCTTTCTGTAGGACGTATTTCAAGATGAGTGACAGATTCGTGATGAAAAATGCATCTTGTTATTTTTGTAAACATGATTATAAAGTCAAGTGAATGCACTCAGACTGGAGTTAAGCTTTCTAATCCATTGCATGGTGAACGGCTTGGAATAGGATGGAAACACTGTTGCTTTTAAGAGAGGGCTTGAGCAGTCTGTAGGAAGTGTTATATGACATGAATAAATGCTGTAGCAGAGAATTAGGCTTGATTTCACTGAAAGTCTCACTCAGTTGCTTGCTCTCTAATACCTAAAAAGCATTCAGCTAATTTTTCTAGCATTCAGAAAATCTTAATTGTAACTCTTTCCTCTTGTTAGACCTCCTATCTGTTGAGGGATTTCCTTCTCCACCCCAATTTAGACCCTCTTTATTTTTTTTCCCCTGTGTGAAGAAACTTTATTGGATTCCCTTCATTACAGCACAACGAAAAGCTGGTTCCCTCTTTCTCTGCGTGCTCGATCATCTATTTCATTTTTTTTCAGTTGTATTTGTTTTTGCTTGCTTTCCTGTTTTATGGATAATACTGTATAAGTGTAGTGAAATCAGTGAGGATTTACATAGCATATTCTGTATTTCTGAGATCTTTTGAAATCTCAATTGAATAGAGCCAAGTATAACTGCATAAATTAAAATCTCTCAAAAAAAATGCTCTAGATCATGAGTTAAACTGAAAATAACAGTTGTCAAATGTGGTAAAGAAGTTCTTTCGCAATCCATTGATCTGCAAGGGTTTCCGTTTTACTGTCTTTGGAGCAATTAATATTTGGAACAGTCAACATATTAGATGTTTAGATGTTAGGTGCAACATTCAAATCATTTTCTTGGTGTTTAGGATTTGAAGGATGAGAAGAAAAAGGCTAGAATGGCAGCATCTAGGGCTGTTCTTGAGAAGTGCACCATGATGCTCTTGACTGCTTCAAAGGTGAGTGTTCTTGTGTAAGAGTATTGCTGAAGACTAAACCTGGGTACATCACAGGACATGGCATCTGATAGCATAGCTGTCTGTTTTTTCTCAGCAATGTTTTAATCTTCATACCCACCACTCAAAAAAAAAAATCAAAAGAATGGACAGAAGAAAATCTTTTTGTTCTGAATAATTCTAGGAATGCTACTTAATGTCATAGTGGTTTAACAGAAAGTATTTATAATTTTCTAAACACGTTCTTTAGATTTGCTTTAGCAGAAAGTATTTATTTCATTATACTGCATGTGTTCTTTCTAGTAATGTTTGCTTCATTTTTTTTTTTTTGTAAGACTTGTCTGAGGCATCCAGACTGTGAATCCGCTCGTATAAACAAAGATGGGGTATTTCACCAGATGAGACTAGCTTTGGAGCAGGTAATAGAAATTGTAACTGACTCTAGATCAAATGGAGAAAATGAACTAGCTTCCATCAGTATATATTCTGGCATCAAAGTATTCAAGGTAAGAATAGAAGTTGGACTCTTTTCTATAATTTAAAAAATTACACCAAAGCTAGAATTAAATCTTTTTGGAACTCCAAATGGTGGGTAGTGTTACAACTCCTCAGCAGAGTAACTTCAGTAATTCTTCTAAAGTATAAAATAATCTAACAAAAGGTTCTTATAACTTTCTTGCTGTTGCCAAAGTATACTTGCTGACCGTTGCTATCTACTCCTGGATCATGGATCAGAATATATTCAGAACTACAATGCTTTGTTGAGTTGATGCCTTTAATGTTGGATAGACTAATAGATTGTTATACTGACTAGAACTTCACTAAAATAGCTGTTGTTGAAGAATTCTTGGTTCATAACTGGTAGTATTTTTAAGATCTCACACACAAATATTTAGAATTTGAAAATAATTTGGAAACTCAAACTTTGAGTATTTCAGAATACTTTGAAGGAAGTATTGTGAACTGAAATTGTGTGTCCTAGCTTGCTTTATTTTTCCTGAAAAACTTGCTTCTAAATTTCATATTCAATTAAGAACAGTTAATGAAGAAGTACACTTTGTTTCTATTGAGTCTGTGGTACATTTTGAGTCTCATGCCCCTTCCAGACAAATCTGGTTGAAGTTTCTGTGAAGTTCTCAAGGTGTTACTTTTACTGCAGATAAATATTTAGAAACCATACACCAAATAGATGATATGGCTGTGGTTTGTAAAGACAAAACAAAACTTGAATACACAGTTGATTTTTGAAATTGTTACTGAACTGAGATTTTTTTTATTGCCAGCAGGTAAGCAGTAATGTATTTCCTGTTCGTTCTGGTGACTGGACAGTAATTTGCTGCTGGTATTATTAGATTAAAAAACCTCAAACGCTAGACTGGAAATCTGGATACCAGCAATTTTTTGATTACCTTGAAATTCAGTGATCAAAAAAATTGCTGAAGAGAAAAATAACATGTAATAGGATGCATCTGCTTTCTGCATTTGTATCACAACAACATAACCACATAAACGCACAAGGAATTGAAATGCTTCTTTTTCAGAATAAAGTGGAGGGTCTTCGTGCGAATCTTTATTTTCTGTCAAAAGAAAACCTTTCAACAATGCTGGAAGTTATCCTGGAACATACAGAAGACTTTACAGATTCTGCCTATACCAGTCATGAGCACAGAGAACACATTTTGGAGCTCTCTAAACAGGCTAAAATGGAACTAGAGCAGCTGTTTTCCGTGTGGATGCAAGCTGTAAGAGCTTTTTAGCAAAGTAAATCTTTTTCGCCTCTATTTTTAAAAGAAACATTTAATGCAATGTTTCTTTTGATCCAGGAAGAGAGAATTGTGTCTTTAGATTGTCTCTACCTTTTCAGCTTCAGTACATTCTATCCTCCTCTCGCAGTGGTGTTGCTTTAGACTTAGACTTCTAAATTTTAGGCACAAGGTGGTAGGCTAATTTTTTAGGCTACTATTACTAGTAAGGAAAATAGAAGTATAATAGAATATGATGGAAGTATAGAAGTGTTGTTGTACCATCCTAAACAGTTAAGACTTTGGATGAGTCCTTCAGAGACTTAAGTTGTCTTGATTCCATGGTGTAGTGACCACAGTTTTCAATTAAAGGAATAAAAAACAGTTGGCCCATTGAAATGTGAAATATTCTAAAAATCAACTCTTATTTTTTTTCTCAGAGAGAGAGACTATATATGTTTGTCCAGTAATTTTCCTTTTCAGGGAAGTACATTAAGTCTATATCTATCATTTGTCTTTGTTCTGTGAAGACAATAGAAGATACACGCACACAGATGAGGAAAAATAAAGATGGGAAAACACATTTTCTGATGCTTACTCAATTGCAGTCTTGTTTCTAGAGAAATGTAGAGCACAAAATCCTGCCAACACTCTGAAATACAGCAGCTATGTACTAGCATAGGACATTTTTAATAATACAGACTGTTGTTATTACAAGGAAAATATATTAGTAATTGTATAAGGTACTTTAATTGTATATTAAAAAAAAACTAAAGCTATGTTTAAGTTGGTTAGTTTTAAGCTTTTGTTGTTGATAGAAACTTGAGAGATCCTCTCTAGATAATATATGTGTTGCATTTGTGTTGATGGAAATGAACTCCTAGTACAAGGAAGAACATATGTATATATATATATACCATATATAGATACATATAAAAAGACCGTAAGGGAGGAAGTGAGAAGGATGGAGCCAGCCTCTTTTCAGTGGTGGTCACCGATAGGACAAGAGGAAACGGCCACAAACTGAAGCACCGAAAGTTCTACAGGAACTTAAGGAAAAATTTCTTGACAGTGAGGGTGACAGAGCACTGGAACAGGCTGCCCAGAGAGGTTGTGGAGTCTCCTTCTCTGGAGATCTTCAAAACCCGCCTGGATGCCACCCTGTGCCACGTGCTCTAGGTGACCCTGCGTGAGCAGGGGGGTTGGACTAGATGATCTCTAGAGGTCCCTTCCAACCTTAAGCATTCTATGATTCTATGGGTTGTGTGTGTGTGTGTGTGTGTGTATATATATATGTCTATATATATGTGTGTGTGTGTACCTATGTGTATGCATCAAGCCTGTCTTTGATTGAAGATTCAGTACACAGCTACAATAGTGTCAACTTCCTGAGGTGTGTTTTCACTTTGAACTCAACAACTACCTCAGAGGGTAAATATTTTCTGATGGCCATGACCATCAGAGAGATGTTAAGCTCTTATGATAGCCCATTTCCACTCACACTAGGAATATATTTCCTGTTTAAAAAGCAGAGTTAACTGTGAGTGTTCACTGAAGAGTATTTCATAGTGTAGTTTAAAACAGAAGTGTTTTTAGCTCTGGTCAGTTGTGAATTATAGACTGACATCATCTGTCTTGTTTCTTTCTTTTTTTCGTTCTGTTGTTAATGCATACCAGTGCAAACCATCTGGAGCTTACCAGAGAATCTAGGGCTATGGCTGAATTGTAAATGGTTCTAAAATTCTTTTTCTGCCTGGTGTATCTAGCCTTGGCAAGTTAATATGGATTGTATTAGTTTGTGTGGGTGAATTTTTTCTCTAAATGAAATGTGGTGGAGGTTGTGCACGTGTTATACTATACATACTCACTTGCCTTGTGTGTGTGTGTGTGTGTGTGTGTGTGAGTATCTATATACATATTAATATAGACTGTGAGGAGGTAATGTCATTGCAACTATGGCCATATTAATGATCCCTCCCAGAGGTATATATTGGAGAAGGGTGCAAAAATCCCTGCTTCATGACTCTTTTCCCAACATAGTTCTCGTTACCTTTTTCTTTGTTTCATAGCTGGTGTTTACAGAAGTTGAAGGTCTCTCTTGAAGTTGACTGAACAAAATGTTAGCAACAGTATTTGTTTAAATTAGACAAAAATCTGAACTTTGTAAAAAATTATAAGGAAGATGCGTTTTTTTTTTTTCTTTGTAGCTCAGTGTAGATATTTATATAACACTTTAAATATCACTTTGGGATAACACTTCAAATATTTATTTTTGAACAGTGTCCCTTTATATTTTTTTTTAAAGAAGGCTAAAACTGATACTCCATTTTAGGATGTTTAGATAGGTAAAGATTTTTGGAAGCTCCAGATATAAAGCTTAAGAAAGCCATTTTTCCAAATAGAGCTCAGTGAGATTCAGAGATAAATTTCTATTCAACAGAAACAGTCAGTTATCTGTCTTCACTATTATTCTTAAATTTTTGTTTATTTTAGTGATATGTCTCTGTAAAATAATTCCTAAAGTTAATTATATTCAGGGTGGCAACTGAAACCATTACAGTTATGTCTATAAATGCCATCTTTTAAAATAATTTGAAATAATGACACACAATGTGAAGCTCAGATTTCTTGGGTCTTGCCTCATGTTTGCTTGGGTTTTTTGTTAATAGCAAAACCAAAAGACAAAGGATCTCATGGAAGACTTGGAAGTAGCCATTTTAAAAATGTGCCAGTGCATGAATGAACTTAAAAGACAGGTAAGTGCAGCTTAAAAAAAACACAAAGTGAAGAAAACCTTGAATTTCTTGCTTTTCATGCATAAAATTGTATAATAGGATCCTGTACCCCCAAAACTATCATTTATAGAAAACAGTGGCTAATCAGAATTAGATTAGGGAGGTCATATGCAAATCTCTGTGTTCTTTCATATAATTGATCAGAAATTTTGGATACACAGACCCTTTGCTAATTACCACAACAAATAAATAAATTGGAAGTGACTACCATGTATATAATCACAACTTTAAGTGTAATGACTAAATTTTGCTTGTGGGTACATATAATTACTGATTGAATCTGTTTCTTCTAGTGTGCTTGAATGAAAAAATTACACATCCTACAGCTTTACATTTAACCTATTTTTAATTTTTCTTATTGCAGAAAACATCTTATTTTGGTTGTATCTTATATTTATTTTTTTTCCCTAGACTGTTCGGTTATTTTGGTGTGACAACTGTAGTATTTAACATCATATATATTTTTCTTAGATACTTAAAGCACTTCATATTTAGGTTGCAAAATATGCTAAAAGAAATATATGAGAACTCTCAGTGTGGCAGCTGTGTTATGTGCTTATGGTAAATCACTCTTTGTGATTGATGTCACCAATCCCCACATGACAGTAAGAGTTAGCTGCTTCTTTTGATGCATGGAAAGGACTGTCCTTGCTGAGCAAGGTCTTTTTTTCCTCTTATTTAGTGGATCACCTTTGTGCTTTATTTACTTCACAGATTCAATCCAAATACAGAATTAGTGATTTCTGGTAGCTTCCTAAGCATTTGTAAAGCATTCAGATGTCTTTTCAACTCCTTCCTGTTATTGGTCTTTTCAACAGATGGAGAAATTAAGAGAACAGTGATGTACTTATACTAGGCTACAGAGTAAAGTAAAAATATTAGAGAAATATGGAAAATTTGCTCAGGCTGAGCTCTGAACTGTGGTAGCTGGAAATGTTTGACTAACAGCCCCTTTCGAATTAGAGCCCTGGAACAGTCTGCCCAGAGAGGTTGTGGTGTCTCCTTCTCTTGAGATCTTCAAAACCCACTTGGATGCAGTCCTGTGCCACGTGCTCTGGGTGTCCCTGCTGGAGGGGTTGGACGATCTCTAGAGGTCCCTTCCAACCTCAACAAGTCTGTGATTTTGTTATCTGCCCCCTGTTAGCTTTGTGTGCTAAAAAATCAGGCATCATCCTCTATTTAATGGGGAGAAAAAATTAGAGTTTATCAAATCTGCAGTTGTCATGAAGATTTGATCAGTGCTTCAGACCTGTTTCAGTTGTGGTTAAGTATTCTGTGCTTTGTGTCAGCCTGTATGCTAGGTCCTCAGAAAATAGAGGATGCATAAATTTTTATCTTTGACTAGTAATTTTTACTGTGGTCTTCAATGTGTAGGAAGTCAATAGCAAAGTGTCTCTTCCAGAGTGACATTCAGTAGCTCTATCTGCAAGAGCAATCTCTTTCTGCAGTCATCTATTCAGTTTTATTCTGTCTACCTCTTTATTCTGTAGAAGTTCTGCAGACAAAATCATGTTGTTCTCCTAATACTCTGAGTAACATCATTCCTCTGCTCCGAATGAAGAGAAAGGATTCCCTGTCAAAATAGTGTGCAACAGTGTCATTAAAGCAGATCATCAAGACAGAGTGGCTGGAATATGATGTGCAAAAGAAATTGTTAATATCTTGTATTTTTCTTTTACCTCTGTAAATGTAAATCTTGCCAAACTGTCCTGCCCCCAGCTCTCTGCATATAGAGACGCCAAACAAAATGTAACAGAAACAATACAGAATGCTTAAGCTAAAGTACTATGTTGTGTATGGTCACAGAAGACTATCCTGTTACTCTTTCTCTGATTTATGATGTTGCAGTGGATCAGTCCACAATTAGGCTCTCTGATGATGTAATTGAAGTACTGTGGCACTAATTAAAATGTTTTTGAGATCCTAGGTGGATGACAACACAAGACAGCCTGTTAAATGTAGTTATTTCTATTTTTTGGAAAAAAATAGTTAATCTGCTCACACTTCAGTGTTAAGTGCAGTGTTTAAATGCAAGCCAGTTACTATTTTATATCAAGATGATAAATAGTCTATGTATAAATAGGAATTGCCAGTTCAATTCTAGCACAGGAAGTCTTGCAGATATTTGGCACTGACTGTGTTTCCATAATATAATAAAAATAATTTATCAGAAGATTTTGTATATATTCAGTGCCACCCAAAAAATGAATGTAATAATGCAAGAGTTATAACAGTCGTGACCGTGTTCTGCTATGCCTACCACAGCTTGCTATATCTTTGTTTTTACCAACATTGCTTTTAAAATGAGGCTAATTACAGGGTTACTTGGACTAGTCATGAGAAAAAGCAGCAGCTGTTACCTGCAGCAGTTGTGAAGCAGAGTCCTTCATAACGTAGTTTCCATGGATAATAACATGTGCCTGGATTTAGGAATGTATTTCAAGGGGGAGCTTCTCCTGTTGAGAGTGTACTTTTGAGACTTCTCTCAGATGCAGCTCTGCTTGCAGTCAGGGTTCTTTTTACTTGTCTAAAACACTGTCTCAAGCTGATTACATGGAAGTTTTCTTTGCACTACTCAAATTCAGTTTATTAATGGAAACTTAATATCTAATGCACTGTAAATTCAGATGTCACGTGGCCTCGATTTGGTTCTGTTAGCTTGTGCTCTTCACAAGAAACAGAGTGGTCATCGTATCATGCTCCTCGTGAACTTGGTGCCCCACAGATTTGTACACCTGGCTGTTCCACCTGTAAGATCATCAGAAGGCAGTATGATAGCTTCGTATTCTGATTCTACCCAGTAGCTTTTTTGTTTCTGTGCGTTTTTTTTTGTTTGTTTGTTTTCAGTTTTTTGTTGTTTTTTTTTTTTGAGAGAGAGAGAGAGCACAGTGGATTTTTTCTTTGTACTTGGAATAATATTTGAAGAATTAAAGTCCCAGATAATTTGCAGCCTGTATATATGAAATTTCATGACAGTAAATTTTCTGCCTCTTGGAAAATTGATCGGTCATTAAGGTGAATTCGTTTTGTAAAGGATGCATACTTTTTTTTTTGTCTAAGGTTTATCTCTCTCATTTTTCTTCTTTTTTTTTTTAATGCTACTCAAGCTCCACAATGCAGCGACATCTTTGGCAGCAGATCTCCTAAAATACCATACAGATCATATGGTTCTGAAAGCCTTAAAAATAACAGGAGTAGAAGGAAATCTGGAAGCTATAGCAGAATATACTTGTAAGCTATCAGAGCAGAAAGAACAACTTGTTGAGGTGAGTACACAGTTGCTTTCATTTTCTAAGACACTTAGAAAATAGCTGGCTGGACCTGTCTTGATTATTCCTAAATATTAGGAAGGTCTTGGTCTGGTGGCCTTTTTTAGAGGATTTTCATAATATAATACTGAATTTCCTTTTTTTTTTTTTTTTTTTTTTTTTGCCCCTCCTGCTAGTATCTGAGCTGGATGTATCCAACAGGGAACATTGCTGTAGAAGCAGTTCTGCTTCTGTATCTACATTAGCTGTAGGCTCAAATTCCTTGTTTGGTTCAAGGTATTGTCAGTACATCTGTTTTGGGGACAGATGGATGATACCAAGCTGGATGGAGTGGCCAACACTCCCGAGGGCTGTGCTGCCATTTAGAGGGACCTGGACAGAATGGAGACTTGGGCAGAGAGGAACCTCATGATGTTCAACAAGGACAAGTGCAGGGTCCTGCACCTGGGGAGGAATAACCCCAAGCACCAGGACAGATTAAGGGTTGATCTGCTGGAAAACAGCTCCACAGAGAGGGAGTTGGGAGTCCTGGTTGACAACAAGTTAACCATGAAGCAGCAATGTGACCTTGTGGCCAAGAAGGCCAATGGGATCCTGGCCTGCCTTAGGAGGAGTGTTGCCAGCAGGTCGAGGGAGGGGATCCTGCCCCTCTAGTCCGCTCTGGTGAGGCCGCACCTGGAGTATCAGGTGCAGTTCTGAGCTCCCCACTACAAGGAGGGCATTGAGCTTCTAGAGGGGGTCCAGCGGAGAGCCACAAAGATGATTAAGGGACTGGAGTATGAGGAAAGACTAAGCGAGCTGGGCCTTTTTAGCCTGGAGAAGAGAAAATTGAGAGATCTGACCAATATGTATAAATACTTGAGGGGAGAATGTAGGGAGGATGGGGCCAGGTTCTTCTTAGTGGTGGCTGGTGACAGGGTGAGGGGTAATGGGTACAAATTGAAACACAGGAAGTTCCATCTCCATGTGAGGAAGAACTTCTTTACTGTGAAGGTGACAGAGCCCTCGAACAGGCTGCCCAGAGAGGTTGTGGAGTCTCCTCTGGAGATCTTCCAAACTCACCTGGATGCCGCCCTGTGCCATGTGCTCTAGGAGACCCTGCTAAAGCTAGGTTTCTGAATCCAAGTGACATCACAGCCTAATATCTTTTCCTTCAAGCAGCAGGCAACTGGCAGCAGCTAAATCCAAAGACAAGTTTTAATAATGCTCAGAAACTAATGAATCCAATGAACTCAACCATTTTGAAGATTTTATTTCTGTATCTTTGTCAAACTTCAGATGACCTTTTAAGATATTTTTTCCTTCATGAAAGCACTGTGTATCTGTTCATGTAATGCTCACTAATATATGCATAATTTTGTAAATTAGTATTCAAAATTACATGAACAAATAAGCGTTACCATGTCTCATGGAGAGACAGTGCCTCTTAGGAATGCCTGTACAGAGAATGTCTACCAAATATTGCTTTCCGCTCTCTAACCTAGCAGATAACGAAATTTATTTATGAATTACACTTCAGAAAAAGCATGAGTTGGCAGCGCTGGAGATGCAATCCTTGCATCTGAGTGCTCCTCAGTTTCTTCCCACCTGCCTGCTGAGATAGCACAGAGAACGCTAGCTCAGGGACCTGAATTTTGAGTTTTTTAAGATCTCTTCTGCGTGGTCATGTTAACGGTAAGGCTGCCCTGCTTTCCTCCGAAGATAACAGGGGTGCCTGCCATATTTGTCGTTGCGGAGGTTGAGAACTGCATGGAGAAGGGCATACAGCACGAGAGCAGGGCTTGCTAAGGTGGTTCTGGAGCACTGGGCTAGGTGGAGCAAGCACGATCAGAGTTTCATAGTCTGCCTTTGTGCTTTCCTTGTACAAGAAGTGTTTTGGGACTCTTCCTGGAAGATTGGTATTTATACAATTTTGGTCTCTTAAGCTTCTTTTTTTTTTTTTCCCCTCCCCAGTGGACAGATAGGGAGTCTTTACTCACATAGAACTTCCATATACCGATCTTGTGGTTTGTTTGCTTTCCTTTGTGTATATTACGGAGGCTTTTTTTTTTTTTTAATGGAATATTCAAGAGTGTAAGAGTGCTTACAAGGTCTGCTTCATTTCCACAAATTCTGTCATAGAGGTAAGGTGCAGCAGAAGTAATGGCACTAGTAGGAGATACAGAAAGACAGGTGATATTGATCTGGGTGATACTGGAAGCTATGTAAAACATTTAGTATTCTTTAATTTCTAAAAGTTATCTTTCCTGCATGGAACTCAAGTATTTGTCCCAAAAGCGTGACTATGCAGAAACAATGTTCTCAATTTCAGGGACTGACAAATCAACTCTTATTTTTATTTCAGCTTTAATATTCCCTGTGTCCCTTTAATGTTTTCTATGACTAATTAATGCTTCTCTTTTAATGAGGAACAGTGAACTTTTTCAGGCATTACTCTGAGTAAAATGATGTCCTGCAATATTTTTTTGCAATGAACAATATGGCGAGTTTTCTATCTGCTTGGTCTGTCTTAAACTTTCCTTGAGATCTAAAAACTCTGGTGTTCGTTCTCAGCCTAATGCTGCTATTACCACAGAGAGTGGGTGCTTGTATTTTGTTTATTGTGAAAGGAAATAGTATTTCTTCCCAAGATTAACTTAATGTTGTTTTCCTCAAAGAAAATTCAGTACCCTGGATGGTGAATTTTCCACATAGTAGATAATGGCTGAGCAATCCTCTCTTGGTAAAATCATCTATGTTACAATTTCTAAGTTCATTAAATGTCTGATTACTTTCAGACTTATTTAGTAAAAAAATATTGTTGAATTTTTTTTTTTTTGGTCCCTTGGTGATCTTCAAAAAAAAGCAGAGCTAAAGTCTGGTTTGGGATATATGTTGTAAACCCTTAGTGAGAGAACATGACATTGGTATGTCATCCCAAATCAGTTTCTAAAAGGAAGGTTGTTGTTATTATTATTATTATTATTAGTTAGTAATGAAAGTATATTTTTACCATTATTTTCTCTTTAAATTTTCAAAAAAAATCTTCAGATGTGTCGTTTGCTGAGGCATGTTTCTGGAACAGAGCCCCTTGAGATTACTTGCATACATGCAGAAGACACCTTTCAGGTCACTGGCCCACAGGTATGCTTGGCTTTTTTTTTTTTTTTTTTCTCCTTGCAGTGAAATAAAAGTTTTTGGAGACCTGATGTTGGAATTTGCAAAGCAGTTTTTAGAAAGAGTTGTATTTTGCTGCTGGGCTTTATCATATTATCATTAAAAGAACATTCAAAGAAGATCATCAAGCCTGCAAATGCATTGTTCAGGCATAATGGTAACACCTTAATTGCCTGTTTTGCCTGTGAAGACATTGTGCATTCATGTGCCACACTATTTACCAGGATTTCTTTGGGTAGCATATATTTTGTTCTCTCTCCAGATTATTTCTGCTGCAGAAACATTGGCATTGCATCCCTCCAGTAAGATTGCAAAAGAAAATCTTGAGGTGTTCTGTGAGGCTTGGGAGTCTCAGCTGAGTGACATGTCCACATTGTTAAGAGAAATCAATGATGTGTTTGAAGGAAGAAGAGGTAAGAATGCCATGTACACGTAGAAAAAAATGTACTCCCAAAACAAAATGTTGTCTAAATATTTTGACTGTGATTTAGGAATTTCTGTCTTCTTCGAATAGTAAGTAAACCAGAACCAGTCCCACATCCCATGTGGCAATATAGGATCTAGGTGGTCATAACTAGATGTATTGGTGTTGAATCAAAGTGTAACTTGAATTGTGTGTTGTATTTAATTTGTATCTGGTATTTTTTGGGAAGTATTCGTGAATTCTGTGCTATCAGCTTGCATTGTAATCATTTTCATAATTTAGTGAATGTAGTTATTTGATTTTTGAACTGCTGCCCTTTCTCCTGGATGGAATATCTGATGACTCTGCACAATCTTGGGATATTGGCTCTGGTTGGTAAGTTTATTGGTATTTGTACAACACGTAGAAGAGAATCTTGAAATCTTTTAAGAAATTAATCTGTGTTTACTTTGCTTTTAGTATCTTCAGAGTAGGGTAATTTATCTTTAAAAAGCTGTTGTCTATTTTAATCTAACTTTTTTGTTGTTGTGTTTTTTTGGTTTTTGTTTTTTTTTCCAAATGATGACTTCAGTGTAGCCTGGTGTTATACTTCTGGTGGCTATGTGTTTGTTTCAGGCTTTAAATTGCAGTTGCATACAGATAGAATGTCATGTACTGAATGTTTTGTATTTTTAAGAAAAATCACTCAGGTTAAAAGAGTTAATATTTAATTAAATATAGAGAATGCAGTATTCTGTATCTCAGATAAAGAACAAGTACATCCGTATCCAGGTTAGATGATGCTTTGTGAATTGTATAATTCATCATCCTGTCATTGACGTGAGACTTCTTCCGATGAGTAGAATTTATTTTGGCTTTTGAACTTTCCCTGCTGCACCAAGTTTTTGTGCAAGCAGTTGCGAGAATTCATGTTCCATGTGGAGAGTCAAGGAGTTTTCTTCAAAGGTTAAGGGCTTAGATAAACCTTCACCTAGTAAACACCTTTGATAGCTCAAGGTTTTGCTACTGCTTGGCTAGTTGTTGTTACTCCTTCACTCCGTGTTCCTTTCCCACAGTAGTGGTACAGGAGGAGAACGTGGGAATGGACTCAGTTTAGCTTAAGCTGCTGTGGGAAGTTGTCTGAGCTGAACTGGTGGGCACTCATGTGTTCTTTTCTGCCAACATCCTTGCAAGGACAGTAAACAAACTGAGCAGCCGCTGCAAAGCACATACTTCCCTCTAAAAATCAGTAGTTTTTAAAGTGTTACGGCACATTCCCAGTATACACTGTAGTTAATACCTTTTTGTTCTCATGTGGATGTTGATAGCAGATAAGAGGCATTTTCTGCAAATCCTATTTCCCAGTTTCTTGGAAGAACCATTGTGCTTGGCATCCCTAACCCTGCTGCATGAAGCAGAGAGAAGAGCACGAGCAGGAGTTGCCAAGCGTGTTCGGGTCTGCCTTGTGTGAGCCGGGCTGCAGTGAAGAGCAGCTCTGCCTGTTGGGCATAAACAGATTGGTCCCTTTTCATTAGGATGGCGCTTGTTCACCCTTTCCTTCACCATAAAGTATTTTAGTACCACCACTGTTAAAGTAATAAGTGTAGCCTTCATTCTTCATGCTGCCTTAGGTGCGTTGTCTTGTACTGCCAAAAAGATGCTTAAGGAATCTTTTCTCTTGGCCCAGCCTAGTAAAGGACTTCACTCAACTAGTATCACATCTGATCATTTGATATTAGTTATCGCTATCTCCTTAAAAATAACGGAGTCACCTGTACTGTGCTGTTTTCTATAAGTCTTTCCTGTGTTGTTGTCTACTAGCCCTTTTGTTTGCGTGCTTTCCTCTGTTAGACTTCAGATTGACTAAAAAAGACGCAAACCAACAACAGCAAAAAAACTTCTTTGCTTTCAGAAAATACCTTAGAAGGCACCTTACCAGTTCAAGCATTTTATTCCCTTAGAAAAGCACTGTAGATGATCCAAGGGGAAAACTGTAAGAAACTGCAAAAGTTTTGTGAATGCCTCTTTTCCTCCAAAAATAATGGAGTTTCACAATATTGTATAAAAATCTTATTTCTTCTTGTCTTAATGCTGAGATTGGTAAAAGTTTATTTTACAGTGTAAAATGTACCAAGTGCTTTATTCCTAGTAAATGGTGATTGTATGAAATAGAAGATAAAATTACAGTAGGATGTTATATATATTTTTTCCTCCCTGATTCAAAAAGATATTTTTTACTAATGTTCTAATGTTTGGCTTTGGTTAGAGAGTTCAGAAGCAAAAACTGAACAGTGACTAAAATGTGCTGGACACATCTAATAAAATAAGCATTTTTTTTCTGATTGTAGTAGGTTCATATTGTTTAAATGTGTAAATCTCCTGATTTTACAAATTGCATAATTCTTTATGGAATGTTTTTTATCCGGTCAGCAAGTCAGGCAATTTTTTTTTACTGAAGTGCAAAGCTCATATGGATAGAGAGTCAAATTTAGCTTTGAAATGAGTATTTTATTCAGCATTAATGGGATTATACCATTAAATGCCTAGATTGAATTGGGCTCATGTTTGGGTGTGCGTGTGCTCTGCTCAGAGAGGCAACCTCCATTCATCTTCTGATAACCTCGTTATGCTGGTAGACCTCTTGAGTGAAGCAGAGTAGTTGTTAATCCTGAAACACTGCGAATCCAACAGTGGGAAGGCCTGTTCTGCATAATATTAATCTTTGAAAAAGTGTCTGGTTTGAACTTCCTTTTGAAGTCTAAGGAGAGAGACTGGCCCTCCTAGAGTGTAGTGGTCTGGTTTATGTAATGATTTGGTTCGGCTAGTGGAGGTGCCTATGTGCACTGACCATACTAAGCCTAAAAATACTATTTTAAGAGAGTTAGTTACTTAACTTTGAGGTTCTTGCAATTTGAAATGGATCACCTATGAAAGTATCTTTCATTGAGGACCATATTCAGTCATTTAGGTGCCAGACAGTCTATTTCTTTCTTCTGTCCTTTCGGTTTCAACATGTTGGAGAAGAATGTGAATAATTCCCTTGATGGCTCCCTTTTAACTTGTTCTTTGGTGTTAAAATGACTTGCAATGATAACTTAATTTTCTGGGCTTCTCTCTTTGCTTTGCATTGGTTTGAGAGAACTGATTGACTGTTAGGATTTAGGAGGGCTGTAGTGGATGGACAGGGGGCACAGGTAACAATTTTAGAATTAGGAAAGTAGAATTCTAGAAAGAAGTGTAAACAAAGATGAAGGCATCCTCTTGTGAGATAAAAAATTAGGTCAAGAGGAGGATTTAAAGAAGTTAAAATAGAACAGGGGGTGGGGGAGGACATGTCTAAAACTAGTAGAAAGCAGAAGTGTGGTAAGTAGGATTGGGAGATAAACAGAATGAAATAATGAATAAAATGGCAAACTAGAAGAAATAAAAGGAAGATTGTAATCTGGTAGGGGAAAAAAAAGTTTTTATTTCTATTTCTGAAAGTTTTCTCTGCTATTTTAGCCAAAATCTGACTTTCAAAATATTACAGTTAAGTAGATGAAAAGATATATATGTATTACATCAGTGGAATCAAATATAAGTTATGTAATTATACTGATGTATAACTGCATCCCGAAAAAGAAAATAGGTTGATAGTTTACTCCCTGCCTTGTGCAACTCCTAGAACTTCTAACCTGGGAAGGGGAAAGAAGAGGTAAACATGGGAAGATAGAATTCAAACTGCCAACTTCTTGGGACCGAGAGACACTTGCCAGTTTGCTTAAAAGATTAAAAAAAAAAAAAAAAAAAGGAGAGAAAAAAAAAGAAAAGAAAAAATGGAAACCCAGCATGTGTCAGCATGGATCTGTTCCTGATGGGAGACAGAAAACTTCCAAAAATCTTTTTTTAGTGCACAACAGAACCGTCTTCTGGGGTTCTGAATGGGAATTCATGAGGAACAGATAGATACAGGAGGAGGAAACAATAATCCCTGGCTCGCTGGGGGTTTTGTTGCTCATCTCCTGTGTGTCCAGGTGCATGGGCTCTCTACAAGCCCAGTATACTCTGCAGCAGTAGCTCCTTCTTGCTTTAGGTAAAACCTGCTTTTTCACTGGCACTTTTTTTTTTTTTTTTTTTAATTTGACAGACTTTACTCTCCTATTGTAATAAAAATAAGTCCTTATAGATGTTTAAGTTGTATGGTAACTGGAGCCTCCTAGTCCTGGCTACTAGTCCAGGTACTGTTTTCCTTCTATTAATAATCTTTTTTAAATTAATTTCTGGAAAATACCCAGATATTTTTTACTCCCTATCTCTTGCTCAGATGGAAGTAACTGAGGCCCCTTGGGATGCTGTACTCTGCAACAAAATGAGTACAGGCAGCACCAGCTGCGTAGTCACTGCAGAGAGGGCCTCTTTCCTTAGCTGTGGACAGAATGCAGGGCACGAGAGGTGTAATGGGTGACCCAATGGGTAACTCCCCTTAAGGAGTTACACGTAACTGGCACTTACTGAGAGCTAGAACCTGCACAGTGAGGAGGTCTTGGCTTGCTTGTCTCGAGAAGCGTAAGGCAGAGGAGAAGACCTCTGTAACAGTCAAAAAGGAGAATTTGCAGGTAAGTAATTTTCTGTTACAGTACCAGAGCTTATGTTCTTACGTAAGTACTTAAGTAAAACCTGCGATCCCATTGATTCAAATCTGCATACAAATTTGGGTATAAATATATGTATTTTTCTTAGGAGAGAAGCGTGTCTACCTATCACTGCCCAGACCAGGGGTAAGTTGCTTTGGGGGCTCTGTATTTGCATCCTATCTGCTGCTAACTAACTGACTCAGCAAGGGCACAGCAGCATCTCCGTAATGTGCATCTAGACTAGGTGGCGGACAGTAAAACATTGAACTTGCTAAATAAGCAACAAACTTTGAAAACCAGGCAACTAGTCACATAACACACATTGATCCCTTACTTTGATTCTAGCTGAACTTTAATTCTTGTTTTATAATAGGACAAACTTTACTTCCGCACTGTATAATCATAAATGTCCCTAGCAGAGCAGTGTTTGTTTACATGATGATAAAATAAAAGTCTCGGTGATACTTTTTTTTAATGTTTTTGTCTGAGCTGACATTCTGTATTTCTATCGGTTCTCCTATCAAACAAATAGGATGGCTGGTTCAACATAAGAATGGATACAATTACAAGTCTAACAAATATTCTTAAGTTTCTTCAAATCTTAATATTTGCATGAATAGTACTCATGCTCAGTTATTGTTCTAGAATGTTCAATTTCGTGAATTCCTTTTAGCCAAGCAGCTTAAGCTTCCACTGTAATACAGTTAAATGACATTTAGGAGTACAAAATCTTAAACTTTTGCCAAATCTTTTGAGATCTGCTCTCAAATTTCTAGTACCTAGGCAAAATTATTATTGTCTGATCTGAATACACATTTTTAGGATTCAAGTAAAAAAAAAACAATTAAGAGCGGACACAGCCATGAAAGCTAAACAGTAGGCAGCAGATTGGAGTGGGAACTTAAATAGATGTATTTTCTTGTTGCCCAGATTGATTTTGCGCAGACACAGTGAATAGCAGATTTTTACTAAGGGATTCCTGAGTTTCCTTTGCATTCATAACAGCTCCTCGTGATTTTCAAACAAGGGGGTCAGTCTTGCACACTCACTACCCTACCTCCTCCTGCAGCTAACACCTCTCCAGACTGATTCCTGCTTGTACTTGCAGTTCCCCCACACTCTTGTGCAGTTTTTATATGTGGGATGTAGCTCCCAGCTTCACTAGTTTCTGCTGTCTTTGCACAGTGACAGATTTTGGAAAGCTAAGGCCAGGACCTGCTGCTCTCGGTTACAGACTGTTTTGAAACAGCTCATGCTGCGGATGCCTGCAATGCATTTTAACCTTTACATTATCTTATTAGGTGTTCCACTTACTTACATCAATGAAACTGGTATTTTTTGCTTAATCTGAGCCAAGATTAATCTGATCAGAAAAACTGCTTTGGATACTTATGGCAAATAGGGTGGGGAATCCACTGAAAGGTCTAAGTCTCAGTATTAATTTCCAGCTATTTCAGCAAGATGACCCAGAAGGAGCCACCTGCATCATCACAGCAACAGTTTTCACCCAAGACCAGTTCCAAAGTTGATTAAGCCAGTCCCTGTTAGAGCAGTATCATCCTTGATGGAAAAAAAAAAAAAAAAACAGTGTAATGTTGTCCTTGGCTAAGGGTGTTTATTTTGTATTAAGAATTATTCAGCCTTTTAAGGGACAGGGAAGAGGACGGTAGCATATGAGGAAACGGAAAAGGGACGGAGTCTGAGAACCGAGAGGAATCTTTTCCTTATAAATGTTACTGTGTTTGTAGGCCCAGATAATGTTCCCTTATGCCACTACAGAGGAAAAATCAAAGCAGAACAGAGAGGCTTCAGCTTCTACTGAAAAGTCTGTCTAAGCCACTGAAACTCTCCTGCAAAGTTAACTTCTGATACAGCCATGTCTTATGACTTGTTAGTAAAATTATTAAATTTTCCTCTTATTTAAAAATGGTATTTTTTTTGTTTGAAACAGAAGCATAACACAAATCTGAAAGCATTAAAGCCAGTCAAATTAGATACTGAGGTAAGATGTCATCATTTTCGTAACAAATCTTTTAATTATTTTTTGACTGAAAAATGTGTTTTCACTTGTCCTAAATATACTTACTGTTTACAGGAACAGGCAAAAATCGCAAAACTTGGATTAGAACTGCATCTGCTGACATGTGAAGTAGATTCTGAGACAGAGAAATGGGAGGATCAGGACAACAGATTTGTGCAACATGTACAAGGCATGTCCAGCATGGCCTACTCCATGTACTTATTTACCAGGTAATTGTGCTGTATGCAGAGCATTTTGGTGAGGAGGAGGCATTAAAAGTATTTGCTGGGAACAAGAGGAGTAGAGGAGCATTGGTATACTTTAAAAAAAAAAAAGAAAAAAAAAAGAAACTTGTTTTGCCTAAACTTAGAGCTAGTTAACTAAATAACTAGTTAGCTAGCTAAAACTGTTTAGAGCTAAAGAGCTTAGAAGATCACAAGAAGTTATAGAGTGTAATGAAAACTTTTTTTTTTTGAAGCATTGTATTTCTCTTTTGTTGCTGAATATCTGTTTAAATAAGTTTAAGTGAGGGGGAAAAAATAAAGAAGCATGTTCATAGTTTGCTTTTAAAACTAAGAATTTAAGCACAGATGTGTAACTGTAGCTTAGAATTGCTGATCCTTGCTGTTCTGAAAGGTGTATCTTCTGAAATCAGCCTATTCAAGGTCAGTCTTTTTATTATAATTCTTGTGGAAGAATTTAGATTTTTTTTTGATGCAGGATTATTCTTACACAGCAGTCCAGACACATGGATTTCTGTCCTTATTCTGCTATAAGACCTAAACTATTCCTGCCTAATTTCTCAGTAGTGCTCTATCCACTGAGGTTTTTATATATTTTCAAATGGGGCTCCCATAAGTTACTGTTTCTCATTTGCATAGGGTTTTTTTTTTTTTTAGTATAAAGTGCCTACCTAGATTAGTAAAACAAATATACCTAGCCATTTTAAGCAATAACTGAATAATTTGATTTTGTACAAAAATGTTGTATTTTGTGCATTACCTAGTTAAACGACTTAATTGTCTGTGTTCCCCTATTCGCTCTAACCTTTCTGTGTTCATTTTTAAGCATTACACTGACACTATGGAAAGGTAACTTTACTAACATAATTCTTAATTATGAGAAATTGAGTATTATACTTAACTGTCTTTACTTTTAGATTATCTGGGTTCAAAAGTTACGTGTGTGTGTGTGTGTATATTCTACACTTCAAAAGTTTGTAACAAAATTGTTTTTTCATTCTTGTAATTCTCAGTTCCTTTTGTGTGTTGCAGAAATACTTTACCTTAGAAGTGAACAGAGGTTTAGTTACTTGCACGGGGAAAGGGAAGCACATAACCTTTTTTTTTTTTTTTTTTTCTAATAAATGAAACAAGATTCCTCTCCAGAGTTCACACATCAGAGAATGTTTCAGTGTAAACTGCTTTTCAAATTGAGTGGAAGGGAAATGGTAGAACATTAGTTAGTGGAAACGTTCCGCCATTACAGCAGGCAAATTAATGGGAATTAAAAACACTACCACTGCTTTATAAATACTTGAACAAAGGCAGTTTGTAACATTTATAATGCAATTTTTAAAATAGTTACAGCAAGCATTTTAGGAGATTTGACCAATATCCGTCATGAATATAGGTACAGTACAAAATAGGCTGCAAGGATTTAGGGATCACATTTGGCCTTTTGATCTTACAGACCATGTATGTTTGAGAGAGCTTATAAATTAGGTAAGTACCAGGCAAAATACCCTGAAATCTGTACATGTTATATAGTTTGTTTTTGTTATTTCCCACAGAGGAGAAGGACTGCTGAAAACTACCCAGGACTTATTTCATCAAGCAGAGGTAATATATTAAAACACAAACAAACAAAAAAGCCCACAGTCAGGAACTCTGAGTGAAAAAACAAATTGAATCTTTAACTCTTCAGTTCTTTACACAGAAGTACAGCCTATCACACGTGGACTAATAATTCTATTTTTTTAAGCATCAGAACTCTGGTGTACACCTTTTAGAAGTTAATATTCCAGTGTTTGGATAGTAGCTTAAATAAGACAACATTCCTTAAACTTTGACAGATTCCAGTTAGAAGTGGAAATGTCAAACTGAATGTCCATTATGGCCAGTATAGAAGGACATCAAAGCATTAGGCTTCTCCTTTTTGTTACTTAGCTCAGTCCATTATGGGGTAAATAGATATTCCATTCAACCCTGAACAGCAGTATCCTTACAAGAAAGGGAGAAGATATAAGAATTTGAACAATACCAAAAAAAACCCACAAAAGGCCAAATCAGGGAATGTGTGGGGTGACATTCTAAGATACATGCATATGTTTGACAGGAGACCATTATCAGGATGATGCACAAACATGGCAGGTGTCTTCCATTCATAAAACTTTTGTAGAGTGCTCCATTACTAAAAGTAACTGGAAAACATTTTTTTTAACATGAAATGAAAGCCCTTAAACTTTGCTTATATGAGAGAATGGCAGTTGCAGTGCAGCTTAGCATTTCAGAGGTCACCGTGAAATGCTGACATGTTAATGTATACAACTATTGCAAATATTTTCTGCTACTCTCTTACTGTGTAGTATACCACTTATTAAAACAACAAATAAAGCAAAGAGCCTAATCTTTAACTGTGGTTAATTTTGTTATGCTCCCTTTCCTCCAATCAGATTTTTGCTGCAGAGGGCACAAAACTTGCTTCAGCTTTCCATGGCTTTTCTGATCAGGTAATGTGTGGCTACTCAGGTCAGTCATTCCTTAAGACTATGAGCTGAGGTGCAGCACCCTGCAACTCTGGCAATGCTTAAGGGCCAGCTGTGCTGCCTCCTTCAGTAACTTGTAATCGGAGTCTTTAACACTAAGCAGTTCTGTTTTCCTGAACCCCATTTCAGCTACATGACGATGGGAAACCACTGCTTCTGCTGGAGCATGAGAAACTGATCCCTATGTGCCAGCAGCTTCAGATTACAGCAAAAACTTCTGTTCAGGGTAAAAGTGCTACGTTTACAAAGGTAAGCTTGCAAAGAAGAAATGATGAAAAGCTAACCCTGACTTGTTTTGAAATTTCATCATCTACTGATTTCTGTTCTTGTTAAAATATGAAATGTTTTTTGATAGCACAATGTCTTGGGGTGACAGACGACCATGAAAAACAGCAAATGCTAAATTTTATGCTGTTTTGCAGTACTTATTTTCTGCTATGTGATACATCACTGTTGTAGTTTCTTATGTAAAAGAAAGTTACTTCAGCTACTGTCCTTTCTGAACTATTGCATAGACCTAAAAAATTTGAGAAGCCAATATGCCAAGTATTGACAGTAAAAACTATTCCCCTCAATGCAAATGGATTTGTCTGTTGGGACATATCTATACTGTATTTGTGACCCAAGCAATTTATTGCACTGTGTTGTGTTGGGGTAAAAACACCTCTGCTGAAGAACTGTTTTCTTGCTCTTATTTTTGTTGTAGTATCCCTGGACTTTTTTTTTTTTTTTTTTTTTTTTTTTCTTCTTCTTCCTACCAACAGAGAAGGGCTTCAGTGAAGCTTATCCTAATTCCCTCATACTTAGTCACCCTGATATCCTGACAGGAGAAAAAGCATGATGCACTGGCACTTTAGAGTAGAAGTTTGCCAGTAACACGGATAGCATTACCTTGAGGTTCCCATTTTTACATTACTTAACATCTAATTTTGCATAACTAGCCCTGTGGCAAAAGAAATACCATGATTGTTGATGAGATACTAATATTTTCAAGAAGACTTCCCCAGCCCCTAGCTTGCCAACTTGAGAGTCCGAGAATTAGTACAGCAATTAGTAAGGCTTTTCTTTCCTATTGCTAAGAAATTATCACTTTGGTTTTGGATTTGATATTAGTGAGAGAGCTTATAGGAATCTTTCCTGAGCTGCTTTTAAAGGTGGAAAGATGCCTGGACACCTCCCATTACTCTATATGGCTTTTTATTGCTGAGAATTTTGACAAAGAATATAAGTCAACATATCTTTTGATTCACCTATTAGGTGAATAGAGCTACTGGAATGTTATCATTCTGCAACTCACTTCTCATCTGAATAATATCAAACAGTATTTAGCTTACTGTAATCCACTAGAACTTTATTCAGTAAAAGCTGAACTGTAAATTAAGTGCACCTCAGTGACTGAGGAAGGACTTTATTGCTGGAAGTATTAATGAAGGTAATCACCACTGTAACAGTTATTTTTATCCTGTTGTTATCCATGCTATTCATGCTCAACATAAAGAGAATAAATCCACAAATGCTAAGACCCTACTACTGGAATATGTGTTTGCTTCTCAAAATATATAGTCTATTCTAGACTGCCCAGAGTTTATTCCGATTGTAATCGTGCTCATTAAAAGTAAAGATACAAGTTTACAACTGAGTATAACCGGACTAAATGGAAGCTGTCATCTGTGTATAGCTACAACGTGTTTCTGGAGGGCCCAACTTGGAACGTATCCTGAGAATTAGACTTGGGATTTAAACTCAAAAGTCCTCAAGCCTTAGCTAGCTCTTTAGTATGGCTGATGCCACGGTAAGGCTTATGTGATTCATTATGTGATTCTAAATGATGTTTGCATGACTTAAGGCAAAAGAAAGATACCACCAGTTATAAGTAACACATACTTTCTAGACACCCTTTTAGGCAAATGAGCTGTAATACCAAAGAGAAGAATATTAAAAGGCTCATACTCTTATCAGAGGTCCTTTTTGGGCAGTATTCCTCAAGCATCAAAATCCTTTGTGGAAACTTTCCCATCAGTCAAGTTCTTAAACACTACAAAGCTGAGCTTTTTCTTTCTTTTCTTCTTTCTTCTCCTTGCTTTCCAGGTTAATTCCTTTAGCTTAGTTTTCTACAGCAAGGTTAGTATTCACTTATAAACTCAGTATTCTTTCGTATGTGTGTCATTCTCTTCTGTTTCTCAGCTCATGTCTTTTGCCCACAAAAGGGAGGCTGCAGCTCTAATGTATTATATTAAAAAAATATATATTACCCATTCAAACCTGAAAAAATATCATTATTTCATGTGTTAAACAACTACCTAACAAAAGTAATTAGAAGTGTTACACTACTGTAATACACTACTGTAATTGTCTTTTTAGGTTGATGCGTGCATTCAGAGAACAAGGAATGTGATGACGCTATTATGCCAACTTCTTCCACTTTGCTGCAGATTACTGAGAAAGGTGAGTTGATTCATTTAAATCAAATAGATTTTAAAAGTCTCCCTCTTAAAAAAAGAAAAAAGTAATAATATCTTTGTTCCCTTACAGAACAGAGTGGGAAACAGCTGTCTTAAACCTGCTCCACCATGGAAAGAGAACAGAGCACAAACTGGTACAAATGCAAAGTGCCCAGAAAGGACAGATGAGATGCTTGGCCTCAAGCCTTTAGAAAATCATGTAACAAATATGACATTTTTAGAGCAAGGAATTACAGCACTAAAAATGTAGGGACTCCATTTGAAAGTAACACTTTTTGAAGTTTTGATATTGCTTTCATTTGTAGAAAGTCCAAACAGTTTAATCTGAATTAAAATGATTGACTTTTGTCACAGTTAATATACGTCATGTTACTTAACGGATTAGCTAGTGTAATTGTTAGCTATTTTTATAATGTGAATGTTCCCTATTGATACTGGTTTTGTATATAATGCTTATGAATGTTTTAATGGATCTTTCAATGCAAAGATGCTGCTAACAGACATTTTACATAAAGAACCTTGTGCTGAATATACTATATGGAACACTACTGTTGAAGTTTGTAAACTTACCTCCGGCCTATTTCTATCTATCTATTTGAGAAAGCGTGACCAGAAAAACAGTCTGAAAAGCTGTGGCCTAAAGCACTGAATGTTTCTTAGCTATGAGTTATACCTGCAGTGGGATAATCTAGGGAAAAAAAAAATAGTTCAATATCTGTAAAGATCAATTTTAATCTCATTGACATAACTCATGTTCCCAAAAGTATATTTGTAAGTAATTAATACTCTCAGTTTAAAACCTTTTTCCTTATACCATAATTATTTTTAGACCTTTTTGATTAAAGCTGATTGAGTGACATTTGAATTGCCTGTAGAACTACTTAGGTATTATGTAGACTATATTGTTTAGAATTTTAAAAATTATACTGATAATGACAGACTTGTGTACAAAGGGAATTATTTGACTTCAAGTTGTTATGAAAATATAACCTGGTATGATATACTTATTTTCAAGTTTATCTCTTTGTACTCAGGCTCCTGATGTTCTTTATCTTCAGTTCACCTTTCTCATACTTCATGTCATTTAGTTAAGCCAAATTAAGTGATAGCTCAATCATGGGATTTTCCCTGTATATGTTCTGCTTGCACTGAGCAGAATCAAAGACCCTTGTGGAACATACTCCATGCATTAGCATACCTTTCTGTGCTAATTTAAAAATGTGCTTTATCTTTCTCTCTCATTTCTAGTGTTACAAGTTTGAACATAGAAACTATTTGAGCTACTTTATTCTTGTGTGAAGCAAGTGTTTTAAGTTCCACTTTTAAAAACAGACAGTGGGCCTTTCAATGTCATGGAATTCTAATGTACAAGTAGTTTATTTGCTATCAAATACAGATGATACCTGTATACTTAATTTCATGAAGAATTAAGTCGTTTCAACAAAACTTCTTCATACTCCTCCTGTGTCAGAAGTCCTTGAGTTATACTCTTGCTTTCTTCAAATTTGGGTAGAACCACTGCTATGTATCCTTCAGTTGATGGCTAAACAAAGAAGACTAAAGTTAGTAGTGAAATAAAAGTTACAAAATAAAAAGCAAAGAAAGTTTCTTACCTTCTCTTGCAGAATAGCTGGATTATTAAGAATGTTTTCATTTACTTCTATCAGTCGCCCACGTATACAGCTGTGAAAGTTGAAAGTAGATTCAGTGGAAATTAACACTGTGTCAAGGTAAGAAGAAAATGGGAAAGTTCTTACCTATAAATGGTGTACTCTTCTCCATCAGAGGATGATATCCTGCACAAAGGGGCAAATTCTGTTAAAAACTGAGCTCCCTGCATTTGGGGAGGAAAAAAAAAGGTTACTTTGAGTTACCTGAGGCTTTTCAAAGTGTTACTATCAGCACTATAAGACGATTGTAAGCTTCAGAAGAAAGGAGGGAACAGTTACTACGTATGGGTCATTGTAAGTTGCAGTTACACTGCCCACGGGACGGGAAGATGATAGCACAGTTCCCAAGCCAAGCCGACATTTTATCAGAGTTTACAAATCTAATAGTAGTTTTTCTTGTGGCGTAACAGATTTGTAGTTTAATCAGACTAGAATTGGCAAGTAGAGGAAAAATGGAGAAATGGCTAACAGCCTTGGTTTGAACAACACTAAAAACCACCAGTGAGGTAGGAGCGCTATTGCAGCTAGCTTGGAATAGTCAAACAAGCTACTTTACATGGTCTTAATTCTTCAGTTCTGGAGGAGCTGTATTAAAATGCAATGGTAATGCTGTTTCTCCCCTAGAAAGGATAGAAAGGACAAGGCAGTTTGAGAGATTAAGATGAAAACTGGCCATACCCTTTTTGACTTCCCAGAGACCTTATTTTGTAGTCTGCTGCAGTTGGCACTGATTTGGTAATTAATGCTTTTAATTGCTTTTCCATTTTGAAGAAGAGGATGCGCTTCCGCCAAGGTGATGACACAAATTCTGCAACAAGAGCTGTAATTATTGTACTGAATCTGTGAAAAGCCATGCTCTCATATGCTTCAAGCAAGCTCCACAACATTCTTTGCCTTTACTAGTAGGATTTAACAAAATGATAGTGATTACTTCGTTTGCCCTTATAGTCTAAAATTCTAGCAAGTTTTTATTGTTGGAGGCCCAGTCTTCCACAATATTCTTCCCCCTATAGTTTAGTAAGAAAGTGTAGTTCATCTTACTGCAGTCTCAGTCACAGAACATACAGACAGACCTAATGAGATAGCAAGAACAGCCGGGTCTGGGTGATAACGTCAGGGCTGAGCAGGGTAATCCAGAACAAACAAACAACTATTTACCTGAGCTCATGATGAAGAGCTGATAATAATTATTGACTGCAGCTCAGTGACAAATTTTCCTTTCCTACTTAAAAATTTCATTCACTCTTCAAATTAGACTCATTTTCCTCAAGGAAACTCACCTTGAGAGTTTGCTGTACTGGGTAAAGTTGAAAACTGAACTTTGGCTTAAACAGCTTAAAGCTTCTTCTCTGTGCACTGCTTTATTTTTCAGATACTAGACTGGAGCATAGCAGGAGCAGACTTCTTAGTTAAACAAAATCCCAGCTTTTAAGTAGGAGCCAAAAGAAAGTGTGCTTTTTAACTTAGAGCTGTTTTATCTGATATGGTATGCACTGTGAGCATCCTCACAGTGTGAGCATCCTCACAGTGTTTACTTGTGTTGTGACAGCTGAAACAGATGTTCACGCAGTGCTTTTGATGGAAAAAAAGTCTCAAACTAGGTAAGGATGAATGTAAGGGCTATTAGTGGTGAATAGTCACAGCAGATAAATGGTACTGTGAGCTGGTTCTCAGGTAACCTGTTTGTGTTTCATATGCATAAAGGCAGATTATTTCTTGTCACAAAACTCCAGAATTTAAAACAAGATTAATCTTTCTGTAGAGATTAGACCTAGTACTACCACTCTTCTAGAACAGTGCTTAATATATAATTATATACTGCTTAGAACTTGCCAATAAACAAACACATTACATTATACTTCAGTTTAAGGTCAGTTTAAAAAAATAAGAGGACCAAAATTATGTATGAACATAATGCTAACTGCAGTGAAAAAAGTAATGCTTATTCTGAACTTTCCCCTTAAATGAGGAATAGTTTAGATCTCTTAAGAGATTCCTCATCTCTTAGATCTCCTTAGATGTCGCTCCCCTGTCCTGCAGGTTCTTAGTCCGTGGTTCTTGTGTGGGAGCTGTGTTCTGGTGCTTTTGGTGTGTGCCACTGCAATTGCCACTGCCAGCTCTCCAGAGACAAAGTGCAGCAGCTCCTGATAAAGCAGCAATGAAACTACCTTCTCCTGATACCGGCCCCCTGTTTTTCTATGATGATTTTGGGCTGGCATTTAATCTTTACAGCTGAGGCCCGGTAATGTAACAAATTAGAAATGAATCCTGCATTACTTACTTAGAAATATCAGTGTGACTTACAGCTAAATGCACAGCCACTGGAAGCAGAACATTTTACGCAGCTCAGCTGGGCTGCTAAGGCAGCCAGGAGCCCTGCTTTTCCGAATTCCAGGGACCAGTATCATCTTTACTTGCAAACGTGTGTACAGGTCCTTCTATCTTTTTTGTTCCCTACAGCAGCAGCTGTTGCGCGACCGCGGGCCCCTGCCCCCACGCGAGGCCATCGCAGCGCACCCGAAGGGCCCCGCGGAGGGAGCACTCCCTGGCGGCTCCGCCAAGGCCGCTCGCAGCTGGGTGGCCAAGAGCCCGAGGGCGGCGCCGCTCGCCCCGCGGCCGCTACTCGCCTGTTGGAGTGCTGTAGCACGCAGAAGTCCTCGCCCGGCCGCCCCTTCACATCTGCAAAGGCACAAAGAGCAGTGACCGCGGCGGCACCAGCGATGGCCGTGCTCCCTGCACCCCCAGCTCCTTCGCTCTGCGCGTCACGGCATTTCCACTGCCCCAGGCGATAAAAGACGGTAGGAAGAAGCTTGCAGACGTGTCCGTGCACTAAAATTATATTTCGCTTAATTTCAAGAGCTTAAAAATGCGTCTGGGTGTAAATACAGGGGTAATTAAGTGCACCAGTAGGAAAAGAAAAATCCAGAAATATCATCTCGTTTATTTAATCTAGCACACTGTAGAGTGGTGGTTTGGTGCAGTATGTTGGATTATATATCATAGAATGCTTAGGGGTGGAAGGGACCTCTAGAGATCATCTAGTCCAACCCCCCTGCACATGTAGGGTCACCTAGAGCACATGGCACAGGACTGCGTCCAAGCGGGCTTTGAAGATCTCCAGAGAAGGAGACTCCACAACCTCTCTGTGCAGTCTGTTCCAGTGCTCCGTCACCCTCACTGTTAAGATTTTTTTCCTGAAGTTCCTGTGGAACCTTTGATGCTTTAGTTTCTGGCTGTTTCCTCTAGTTCTGTCGTATAGATATATGCGTGCATATATATAGTATGTATACATGTGTATATACACACACACTATATATAGTATGTATACATGTATATATATATGAATGTATATATATGCATGTTAGATTATATATATATACACACACACACATATTCATGAAAACATCCATTTCTTGTGACAAGCAGAATGACAGTTTTACTCAGAAGTTGTAATAATGCTTGGCATCAGAAATTAGAAAACCACTGTGAATTGCATTTTATTCTTTTAGTCAGTTACTAATGCGGACAGCTGTCATGATTCACATCTGCACCAAAGATTGATCATTAAATCACTGAGCATTCATCACATACCCCTGTATCATCTGATAACTTATTAGGTTACCTGGTTACTTCTCCCCAGATGCACCAAAAGTGTATTTATTTATCCCCTGTTGTTGCATTAGCAATGTGTTTTGATGCACATATATTTCAATGTTAGTTTATTATGGATTATTATTATCTTGATAATTTAATCAAGAGCATGGAATATACAATAAAGGTGTATAAATATAGATGGGAACATTGGAGTATGACTACTCTAAAGAAAAATTAAATAGAGGTATCAGAGAATGGACACCTCAGGAATATACTCAATGATTTCTCAAACACCTCAAGTCACAGGATTCTGCATCTGGGTTTTGTTTTGTTATTAAGAGGGGTTTGCTCCTTATGAAGAAAGTACAGAGACTGAATGAAAAATTCAGTGGTGTAGACTGAAACAAACAATAACTTCTAAACCCTTGATGAAGGGAAGGAACTCACCTCTATTCTCTCAATATTGTTGTTAAACATGGAAGTCTTGTTCTGGATTGGTTTCTAGTGCTAGCATGTAAGCCATAAAAAAAAAAAAAAAAGAAAGAACTCTCCCCTGAAGGTCTGCCCTTCTCTGCGGACACGTTTGTTCAGTGTGCTTCATGAGCAAAAGTTACATGGGTTTGTATGCGTGCAGATTCGTGGGAGCCTGATAAGACCCCTCAGGAGCAAGACAGTTTCACATGCAATGTTGAAACACCATCAGCTGGTCTCCTCTGAGTATCCGAGGACGTAACAAATAAGAACTGCATTTTCAAAGGAAATCTCTCAGCTTGCAGGATCACCATACAGATCAGGTGAAGTGATGAGCTCTGCTAGCTCGGTTTTAGAAGAAGTTACAGGAAACTGCAGCAGAGTCCTCCCATCCTTAAGACTATTAACCTCTTTTAAGACAGGAAAAGCAACCTTTATTTGCTCCTTTTCACTTACTCATAAATTACAGTAGTAGTGAAACATGTTTTACTGACTGTTTTAAATGCTTGACTACTCTTTCCGTGCAGAAATTTCTCCTATTATCTAATCCAAACCTCCCCTGCTGCAATTTGAGGCCATTTCCTTTTGTCCTATCAGTAGCTAATTTGGAGGAGACCAACCCCCACCTCACTATGACCTCCTTTTGGGTAGTTGCAGAGTGCAGTAAGCCCCCCTAAGCCTCCTCTTCTCCAGGCTAAGTAACCCCAGCTCTCTCAGCTGCTCCTCCTAAGGTCTGTGCTCCAGCCCCTTCACGAGCTCCACTGCTCTTCTTTGGACATGCTCCAGCACCTCAATTTCCTTCCTGTAGTGAGAGGCCCAAAAGTGAACACAGGATTTGAAGAGCAGCCTCAACAGCAGCAAGTACAGGGTGAGACGATCACTTCCCTAGTCCTGCTGGCTACACTGTTCCTGATACCTACCAGGAGGCCATTGGCCTTCTTGGCCACCTGGGCACACTGCTGCCTCACGTTCAGACGGCTGTTGACCAACACCCCCAGATCCTTTTCTGCTGCGCAGCTCTCCAGCCACTCTGCTCCAAGCCTGTAGCGCTGCATGGGGTTGTTGTGACTGAAGCGCAGGATCCGGCTTCTTGGCCTTCTTGAACCTCGTACAGTTGGTCTCTGCCCATCAATCCAGCCTGTCCCGATCCCTCTGCAGAGCTTTCCTACCCTCAAGCACATCAGCCCTTCCTCCCAGCTTGGTATCATCTGCAAACTTACTCAATCCCCTCATCCAGATCATCGATAAAGATAATAAAGAGGATTGACCTCAACACTCACCCCTGGGGAACACGGCTCGTGACCAGTCAGCAGCTGGATTTAAGTCCATTCACCACCACCCTTTGGGCCTGGCCCTCCAGCCATTTTCTCATCCAGCAAAGAGTACATCTCTCTAAGCCCTGAGCTACCAGCTTCTCCAGGAGAAGGCAGTGGGAGACTGACAAAAAGCCTTCCTAAAGTTTAAGTAGATCACGTCAACAGTCTTTCCCTCATCCACTAGGCAGGTAGCCTGGTCGTAGAAGGAGATCAGGTTGATCAGGCAGAATCTGCCCTTCAGGAACAAATGTTGGCTGGGCCTGATGCCCTTGTGGTCACACACATGCTGTGTGATTTCCCTCAAGATGATCTGCTCCAAGGTCAGGCTGACAGGCCTGTAGCTCCCCAGATCCTCCATCCAACCTTCCTTGTAGATGGGTGTCACATGGGACAGTCTCCAGTCCTCTAGGACCTTCCCTGTTGACCAGGACCCCAGAGAGATGATGGAGAGCAGCTCCTCAGAACCCTGGGGTGGATCCCATCTGCCCCCATAGACTTGTGAGCGTTGACTGTTTTCAGTTGTGCAGGAATAAAACCCATGGTCTTCTTACTGGTTTATACTGGCAAAGCCATTCAAGTAGGAATATAACAGCTTCATATAATTATATGCAGTAAATACACACACACACACACACACAGCAGCCCCTCTCCCAAATGGCAATACTCCTTTAACAGATTTGGCACTTTCACCATCTTTTATTAAATATAACTTTCCACAGTACCATCATACGCAACATTAAATTGAGTAAAAAAAATCTTACACAGTATGTGTTTCTACTTTTGGGAAGGGAGAAAGGGGAAAACCGCAACACATCAAAACAAGTATCTAATCTACATCAAACCTACCTCTGCATTACAGAATTTAATGGGAGTGGGAAGGAAGAAGAAGTTGTACCAAACATAACTTAACACTAAGCTTTGCTCATAGTGAGCAAGACTACAGGTTTATGCTGAATACAATTTTATGTTCAAATACAGAGATAAGCAGCATTATCCCAAAGCCCAATAGAATCCCAGCGTTCTGTAATAGGAAATATCCCCAGCGGCTACATCCATGATCACTAGCATCATTGTGGAGCATTTCAGGCACCTAAGCAAACAATAAATAAAGTGTTAAGTGCCTTCAAAATACAGACTTATTTAGAACCAGACTTTTCAACCACTAGGCATGATAAAGTTGCATATTACTCCACTAGACATCCCTGCTGACTGCATTAATACTACTACTGGAATAAGGAAAGAGCCAACACAAGTAAACCAACACTTTCCTATGAGCTGTTTAGAGACTGCGAGAAGTTGTAATGGTCTAAAAACTTTTTGTAATTATGCTGATGTCTTAAGGATACTCCGAGTTAATATATAGCTTATTTAGCAACGGACTTAAGCCAGTTTAGAGATTTTATTCTTGGTCAAGCTTTCATGAACAACCACTCTCTAAGTGCCTTGTACTTTTGCACAAATGTCATTCTGATGTACAGTATAGATTTTGATACTGTTCTGGCTCCATTCCAAGAGACCCTAATGATTTACTGCAAAGCTGAACACATGCTTTGGTGGTGCAGGCAGCCAGTCGGACTCTAAGCCACTGTCAGAAGCAAATGTTTTACTCTACCTTCTGCTGTTAGCTTCCTCTAATTAGATACACAGGCAGAAACAAGCTCTGTTCTAACAGTAATGTAAATAAATATTCAGATGTGAGATTACTTTTAACTCGACACTTACATTTAGTAACTCTCATCTCCTTCAAATTAAGAAATGCAGTTTATTGATGGAAAGTAGAAGCTCTTGTATGGTCAGAAAAATAATTGCTATTAATATTTAGGCTATGTTATGTAAAATTTAAGAAGGTCAAGTCACTTACCATATCCACAAGCGCCACATACATGAACAAGCCTGCAGTAAGGGCAAATATCCACATTGAAACATTGTCTGCATAATGCCCAATAAGAATCCCAGTTGCCATTCCAAGATAGGCCAGCATAGCTGACAGAGCGTTATAAAGCACTGCTTGTTTGACAGTCATACCAGCCTTCAGAAGCACGGCAAAATCTCCTACAGCAAAAACAGCACAAAAAATTGCATCCAAATGTAGTTACTGCAGCATTTGTGGTTTCTTTTTAGCACTTATATCATCACTAAGCTATTTTATGCTGTCATCTTCCAGGTGTTTTCCTTCACAAAATTAGTAGTGGGATGCACAAAAATAGAATAACAAGTAAGCACTTAAGTTTTAGAATTTTCAGAAAAAAAAAAGCTTTTACATCTATTCTCTATTTAAACCCACACTATAAAATATTGCAGTACTTGATATGTATGAGCTACTTGGTATGTATGAGCATTGCAAGGCAGTTTAAAAATAACAACAAAAACAAACCCACTTAATTTCATAAGGCAATAATGTCAAGATGGTTCTATTTGTTATCCTCTACCAGTTTGTCATGCTTTAGGACAACTTATTTCCAAATTTTGAATTTCTTTATTAATTTCTGTACATGACTTTTAATGTCTCCATTTTATTTGAAAGAGCAGATTACCAGCAGAAACAGTTTTCCCGATATTCAAAGTATATGTGCTTCACAACAGTACTATGCAGTCAAAGAAATAAGCCATACTTACAAACTTACATACTACAAATTAATACAATCTTTTTTAAAAGCATTTTAAAAATAAAATTCACTCTATACAAAAATAACACCTCCCTCCAGTTAAGTCAGCAAAAGCAACCTTCAAAGTAGGAGACAAAGAGAAGATTTGTTACTAAAGGTTTTGCCCACAAGATGTTACAATTAAGCTGAACTGATATAATACCAATGCTATATAATTTTCCTGCAAACAAATAAGTTTCTTGCAGATTACTGCGAGAAACAATGGACTGTAAAAGTCTACAGCTGAGATGTGTAGATTTCTGAACTAAATATTCATTAAAACAGGTTAGACTCAACAGTCCTTCAACTTGAAGTTCTCTCATCAATAATTCAAACATATAACAGACCATCCATACAAATCTTACTATGCCACAAAACAAAATATTTGCAGAACGTAGTTCTCCAAACCTCTAAGTGCCTAGATAGCTGTAGCACACTGAAATATTATTGTCTTACCCAGCTCATGAGGTAATTCATGGCAAAATACAGCCACAGAAGTACTTAAACCACTAGATAATCCTTCAGTAAATGCTGCTCCTAAAAAAACAAAAACAAAACACACACATTACTACATGTATGTCAGGTGCAGAAAAGTTGTTGCATATACTCAGATTCACGCAAGTTTTTAAAATGCTTTCACAAGCATACAATAAACCCACGAGTTTTTGAAAGATACGGGAAAGAGTGCGGCTCAGCTGCCTCAGACTCAGGGAGTAAAAAAGAGGGCTTGCCAATTTGACTGTAAGAGAGCCTACATGATCATGTGGATTGTGTGGCAGTGAAAGTTTTGTGAATTCTAAACAGTCTGCACATAGGATATGTTTTTGTTATTTAAAAGAAAAAAATAAAAACACCTTGAACTAGTCCTATGGTGCTCATCTTCCTTGTTTTCTCCCCTCTTACTACTAGTTTTCTTTTTTAAAATGACAGGAGAGGACAAAACAGCACACAGCAGGGTCAGCGAACCAAGGCTCATATCACCAGCAGTTCTTACGCCTGGGAAGCCTCCCAGAAGAGTGCAGCAGAATTGCACCTGGCTTTCCGTTTACCTGGTACCCAGAGCGTGCCAGCAAACAGGGCACAGCCAACAAGGTGTGCAAACAGGTGCGAGGCCATTTAGGAGCAGTGGACACAGGGACTCAGAAATGCTGCTCACAGAGGAAGAGCTAGAGTGGCGGTAACGCCACAGGAGACACTCATGTCTTTGCTGCAGCCACCTCCAGCAACTGCAACCCACTCAGAGTTACAGCAGCTTTACCTCTCAGATATGTGCTGTTGCACCCAGAGGAAGAGAATCAAGGAGAAAGAGCAGACATCTTTGTATCAGGGGTCATGAAAAGGAGTTTGAGAGGGTCTTCAGAGAGTCTGCAGAAGCACGAGCACAAGCTCCATCAGGGTGAGATGCTGGGACCAAAGCAACGCTGATGACCGGAAGTTGACATGAACCCTCACACAGACATCGTTATTTTCAGATTTTGAGTAACAACAGAAATCCCCAGGAATCTCCATCTCCATTTGTAGCAATTAATTGAGAGAACAAGGTCACAATTCTGGCAGCAACAGAGGAAAGACAAGAGCTGCCCAGCCCCTAATCTTGACCCAACATATCTGATAATCAGATTAGGGCCAGCACTACCAAAAAAAAAAAAACATGCGCAAAAAAAAAAAAAAACACATGCAAAGAATTAACACAAAAAGGGAGCACACAAGAAATAGAGACAAAGACAGGTCACAAATAAGGAAAATATAAGCACTTTGACAAAAAGCAGGAAGGCCAAAACCCAGTTAAAGCTAAGATTAGCAAGAGACATTAAGGATAACAAGAAGCAGTTTTACAGGAACACTAGCTACAAGGTAAGTTCAGGAAACAGGTGAGTCAGTTGACAGATGAAGAATCAAGCAATAGACATAAAAGTAGCAGTCATCAGTTCACAGCCAATGTCTGCTCATAGGTCCCAGAAGGTCCCAGTGTCACTGCTGGGCAAAAGGGACAAGAGCAAATAATCCTAAAGTGAAGAGATTACTTACGAAAGCTGGGTATGCCCAGATGAATGGTGCCAAATGGGTCTCACCCATTGGTACTGACAGAATGACTGCAAGGTTGCATGCTATCATTGAGGACAAGTCACGGTCACAGAGAGAAGACCCCAAAGACCGGAAAATGCTACCGTTACTCTCGCTAGGCAAGGAAAAGGACTGGGAGAACTGGTCAGCCTCACCTCAGTCCCTGGAAAGTTCTCTAAAAGCTTCTGAAGTAGACTTGGAATCCACCTCCAACTGCTTGATCCATCTCACTGTCTTTTACCAAGAAATAACTGGCTATAAATTGAGGACAACATTTGACGCTATCAAACCTGAGTTAAGTAAGACTTCTAACAGAGTAGCCTCATATGGAAGTGAAACGATGCACCGTCAACAAGCCTGCAGATGACATAAGTCGGGGGCTGGGAGGGAAGAAGGGAAGCACAGGGCAAACTGACTAACCAAGCAGTAGAGCTTTAGACCACACACACCTTGGGAAATGTGAAAATTGGACCAGAGAAGTGCAAAATCCTGCCTGCAGAGCAGAATAGTCTCACACATGAACAAAAAGTGGGAAGTGACTGGCTGAAGAGCAACCTTGCTGAAAAAGACCTGAGAGTGATGATGGACAAAGAGTTGAACATGAGCCAACAGCGTGCTCTCATCTCAAGGCAAACCACACAGGTAATCAGTTGTAGGAAAAGCAGGGTGAGCACACTAAGAGAAGTTCATATTCCCCTCTGCAAAGCACTGCTGAGGCTGTTCCTGGGATACTCTGTCCATTTTGCCTCCTCTTCTCTTCCTCTACCCCAATTCAGGATGTGGTGTACAGAGTGGTGTAGAGTGCAAGACTATAGCTATTTTATCTGAAGTCTTTATCAGCAGTGGTTTGCACGGCATTCTACAGCACTCATACTAGTCTACAGAGCAATTTACAATTATTACTATTTGCCAGTTTGAGTCAGATTTGAGGGGGAGACAGAATGGCTACAGCTACCTCCTACAAAATAATTCATCAGTATTCAACTGGGCTTCAAATCCTGAGGAGACTAGATGATGAAAGGAAAGGTCTACCTTCTCCCATGCCTCCATCCTCAACAGCCTACAAGCTCCTCAATATTACTATCCCCATACAATGTCTTCTGAGTCTTAGCATCTCATCATTTAGAATTAAAAATAAAATAATCAGCTTAATCACATAAATCTAATTTTGTTACCACCAAAGCAAGACAAACAAAACCTGACTAGTTTGCAAAGTACCTAGGTGGTTGATCTTGTCAAAGTACAAACTTAAGATTATCTGTTTTTTTTTTTTTAAATCACTAATAAACAGATGCTCTGTTTTAAACACTCAAATTGAAGGCCACAGTAATACGGTTGATATTACCTTCTATCAGGAAGAGGATTTAATAGTGACACAGCATTTTAAAAAATACTTTCAAGACATCACTCACTTCTCTCAAAAGAATTCTATGAAGAAAATCATGTAGGCAGGACTAATATAATAATGACTATAACATTCTGAATTCTAGTTATTTAGCTGAAGACAAAAAAGTTCAGAAAAATATGTGATGTGAGCTGAAGACCTCTTTATACAAATTTGTCAGATTCAGTGTTCCATGCTTTAACAAAAAAAAAAAGCATTTTAAATATTATTCCTTCCTAATTAACATAAGAGACTCAAGAGGGAAAAATAAAAGAAGAAATAACAGATGAAAGTAAGGAATAATAATCATATGAGGCGAAAACTTCTAAGGGATTTTTTTCTAGTTATACTCCTCTTAAGTCAAAGGTATTTTTACTGTCACTTAAATACAAGAAAATGTTACAGTAAACAGTACTGGCCTTTTCACAACATCACCTGATTGATACTTTGCATTGTATCTTTAAGCACATCCAGAAGTGAAGGAAATCACCTAATTTTAGTCTGAAAAAGCTACACGGCAGGACTTGCAAAAGCCCTACTCTCAGCTGTTCAATAAGCCTTATGTTTTTTCACCTCTTTGTAACCACCAAATCATAACTCCTTCCCAAACCTCCCTAATGCTAGGAGATAATTAATATTCCATAACATTTGTATGCAAATCCTTTTTCTTCCACCATAATTTCACTGCTGATCTATTAGGAAATTTACATCTATGTTTTAAGGAAATTTACATCTATGCTTTTTTTTTTTAATGAAAATTAAAAGAGAGAAAGAGAGAGAGAGCCTCTTTCACATTATATTCTGAAGTGCCTGAATCTGAACAACGGCACATTCTACAGTGAGAAACACTGACTTACTATCAGGTTTTCTCCTTTAAAAAAGGATGAACTTGTTTATACGAAACAATACTGACCCCAGTACGCTATCCAAACTAAAGTGAATCTAACACCTGCAAAACCACAAATGAGTCTTCAAGCACTAAAGTCAATATTATGAAAGACTAGCATAAGAATTAAGAATTACTGAACTTCCAGAACTTATTTCTAGATCTAGAATACCAGTTGACCAGCCTTCTAGAAAAATGAAGGAGATACCAAATCTGACCTCAATGCCGCATGCTTAGAACAGTTTTGATTAAAAAAAAAAATTAAAAATTGAAACTTTCTCAAAAAAGACTGAAAAGCTACAACATGCACAGGGAAATCAGGGATATGAGCAGAGTAGAAGCAAAAATATAATAGTATTTTGTTTACAAGTACCTTCTATAATTATAGGACTTAAACAGTTTCTGCTGTTTAAGGATAGAGCTGTGTCATTAAACTAGACTGAGTATAGCAAGACTGTATATGAGAAAAACATTTTTGAAAACCTTTGCTTATAAGAGATTCCAAAATTTCTGAAACTGCTCAGCACACTGAGCACATTTGAAGGAAGCTATTCCAGCTACTCCCCTGAGCACATTTGAAGGAAGCTATTCCAGCTACCCCCCTTTTAATTAACACAGAGATCCTTACTCCAAAAGCCTGGATGAATGTAACATTTGGTACATTTAGTTACAACACTTACCAATTGCAAGGCCATCACTGAAGTTGTGTAGTCCATCTCCCATAATCACCATCCATGCCAGAGTTGCTATCCCAGCATCCTGCAGCTCTTGTCGCGAATAGCGCTGACTGTGACTATGCGGATGATGGTTCTGGTGATGGTGATGGTGCAGAATGTGATGGTAGTCATGGTGGTGGTGACTGAGATGATCTGTTTGCCCTAAAGTATCATGCAGGTGAGAGTGGCACTTGTTCCTACAGCCCCTGGATACGTATTCGTTGTCAACCTCCTCTCGATGAGAATGAGCTATCATGACCTCTTCCTCTTCTTGTACTGCCGGTTGCTGAGAAATGAAGGGCGATGGATCTTGCGAATCTGTCCCGAGATAGCCCTCAGGTCCTGTTACAAAAACCCAAAGCATAACATTACACATTTTTAAAGTCATCTGGGAAGCAATGATATAATAAGGAAGTTCAGAAAATGATAAAACAGAGAAAAAAAAAAGTAAGCGTAAGAGTTCAGACTGATACCACAACTTCTTGTGCCAACAACTTTTCAAGAGTTCTCATAACTTATTTTTCTTAACTCAAGTTTCTGAGGTAATTCACTTTACTGCAAAACAGTAAAAACTTTTAGTTTCTCCATCTCCTAGGAATGCACTCCCCTACATCTTAGCCATGAAATTTAAAAAGATCTTTTCAGATAAGACCTGCTACACAGTAGGTACAATAATAGAGGCCTCTGTGTCATTTTTACAACAGGAAGTTACTTAATTGCTTCAGAAAAACAAAGCCTGAAGAGCATTTGCTGTGTATTTATCTTAAGGATGATGAATAAAATACAAGGCAGTATGACTACCTTATACAATTTGGCAACTTTCTTGAATATCACATGGAAATATTTGGTTAAATGTTAAGTTATTAAGCTTAAACACCTGAAATATTATCAAAAAAAAAAAAAAACTATCAATACAGACCTCAAAATATCCTCAAATAAACATTAACAGCTATTAGCTGACTTGTTAACACTCGTAAAACTTGTTAATTTTTCACCTGCAGTTGAATGAACAAATGCATTTTTTTTTGCATTACTAACAGTTCATTCTTTACTTATAGTTATTCCAAAAAAGTGAAAGTGTCTTTAACATCTGCATCAAAAACCAGTAGGCCTTCTGCAAAATAACATTTTTATCAGTAGAAATAACAAGTGGGAATCTTAACAATTGACTTTCAGTTATGGCTCAGGTAAAATTTCTGGTCAAAATGCACTATCACACAATACCATGTGCAATACGGCATCAGCCTCTAAAATCTTATGTCTTCCTAAATCCTAAATGAGCATAAGACATTAATGACTTAAACCAATACTGGGACTCTATTTTCTAGTGAAATTGTCAAACTCTTGCATTCTTAAGTACAAAAAGGCATTTTATTTTCTACAGCTCTACGCAAAACAAGACAATTATGCTAAAAACAATACTACTTAGTTACAGAGGGGAAATGCTGCTTCTGTATAAGAAGTTCTGATGATTTAAGCAAGGATACCAAACTACATAGGGAAACTGAAGGAAAATATTCTATCTCAAATGTGATTTTGATGTTTTTCTACTTAAGTAAATTGAATCAATTTCTACTTTCCCCTAAATTGAAATCTGAAATTATAATACAGCAAGTTACATTGTAATCTTAATTGTCAAGAATTTCAATTCAAACACGATCCAAATCTAGACAGAACAGAGAAAAAAAAATCTACTAGGAAAGTAAGAGAGGCAAACAGCTACATCAAAAATTTAGCATCAAAGCTAGGATTTAAGACTGCAAAGCACAGAGCTACTGAAAGGCTGTTTTCCTATATTATCATCTTACTCACTGACTTCCAATAAGCTATGTCAGAACTGTGTTAACATACACACAGGTCACCATTTCTCTTAAACAAATACTACACATCATGTCTGCTCAAAGATCACAAATTTGCATGAGCCTTTGTGTAACAATATACCAGTTTTACGTATCAGTCGTGTAGAGTGTTTTGATTACAATCCATTCCTTAAAATTTCTGAACAAATGATTAACTTTGGGGGCTGATGCTGCATGCGAGTACTCCACGTTCATTTGTATTGAAACCTAGAAATCTTTCATACAGGGTATTTCAGCAGACAACAAAGCAATATTGAAAGCAAGTTACAAAGCAATAAAAACTCTCTCAGTATTTTCCTGCAAACTAGTATCATATTACTTCAGTTACAGGGGCAGACAACTATCTAATAAGGTATATTTCTGCTCACAGTTGAAGAAACCTGATTGTATACAGTCCAATATCTCAATTAACTTCTGGAATTTAGGTCATCACCCTTACAATTAAATAAATACTCAAAACAACCAACCCTGGATTTCTAAGACGTGCATTTCTGTTCCTTAGATTTCTATACAAGATGTCTAACAGTCTAACAAAAGGAACGTAGCAGGAACCATGGATAGCTGTTTCTGAAGTCATAGCCAGAAGGGCCTCTTAACACGGCTTTAACTTCCACTATCCATTCCAGCATTCCACGGCTTGAGGTTTCAAAACTGAACACACTATTTCCAAACTATCAATCATAAAATAAAAATAAAATAAACCTGTGTGCACACACAGGTTTTGTTCCAGAAAGAATTTAATTAGGCAGTGGTCCAATTTGCACTAAGAAACAGATCTATAAGCTGCCTTTGGTCATGTACAGCATTTTTACTGTACTGTTGTACAATAACGACCGTGCCATAATACTCCCGAGACTTACGATCATCTGTATCTAACATCTCTTCATTCGCTGAAAACTTCTTACTTTCTCCATCATCTTCATTTCTTTTCTTATTCCAAAAGAAAATATTATAGTTAAAAATGTTACTTATTTTTCAGGATACACATGATCAACATGATACTTACAACATTTATGCAAGCCTGCACAGAAAGAGGATAACACGGAAGCTATATAGAGAATGCAGAAGAGAAATACTAGAAACTCAGCTAAGAACAGTAAAAAAGACTCAGCTCCTCAGGCTCCAAAGTGGAAAAAAACACCCCAGGCATAATTACTATCTAATTCTGTGTGATAGCAGAAGCATATCTGAGAAGTCAAATGCACTAAGTCCTGAACAAAGGCAATTCCACTAGTGTTTTGGGGTTGGTTTAAGTGTTGTAACATCAGTGTAACAGTTTTAAAAATCGTCTTATAGAAATCTGAGTAAAATCTCTAAAATCTACAGTCATACCTGACCAACATCTGTATCACAGAAACTTACAATCATTGACTCAGTATCTAGAAAGGCATAATGAGTCTAACAGGCAATCTGTTCCAATAGCCAAGAGATAAAGAAAACAAAAATACTTCTTTTACGTGGAATTCTTCAACATCTCTTGATGAGTAAGTTTAACTAGAGCTAAACTGAACTAGGAAAAAAGTCTTGTCATTCACACTTAACCTAGCTCGCATCAGTATAAACCACTCCTGTGTGATACAACCTCCTGTTGCCAAAGAAGAGCTTACAAGGCCTTAATGACAGATTTAAAAATAAAAACTAGAAACAGATCATCACAGTCTCTGTGGTAGCCTTTAACTTTTTCTGAGCTTTCTAAATAAATACTAGTTTCCTACTTTTCTTGAAGAACAGCTTAACAAATCTCTGACTTTTACTGAATAAAGCATGATCTATGCTCTTGCTATCCTAGCCTTTACAGAGATTACGAACATTTACCACCCACCTAAATCATGCTATTCTCTACCTTCCACATAAAGCATATCATAGCAATCTGAAAGCTGTTCTTTTCTGGAGGGCAGGAAAAGGAAGGACGGGAAAGGAGGGACCTGAAGGGAGACACGATTTCCAAACAGAGCGTTATCTAAAAGTCACTAGCGTTTATAGTGTAGTCACTGTTTTTTGTGGTAAGCAAGAAATTACTGCCATGCTCACCCACTTTGTCCAAGTGGCCCTCTGGTAAAAGTGTGATAACTGTATGAGGTCTCTTACTTCATCCAGGATAAGTTTAAAAAAAAAATCTCCTTGAAAGAAGTCAGTAATAGGCAGCCATTTCTTAGATTAGTGTAACTGTTGCAACAAAGGGTGTAAATGAATATTTGCTAATTAAAGAATTCACTGTGATGTCAAGCCTGTAAAACTTATCTGCTTAAGGAAATCTATTCTTTCTTATTTTTCCTTAAAAAAGGAAAAATAAAATCTTTTTCTAATCTATTTTGATAGTATAAATGTGGTTTAAAATAACTAAAGCTTTAAAACTAATCAAGTCAGGAAAACGGCTATTAAATCCAATCAATATACATTATATATATATATACACACACACACATACACACACACACACGTTTTAGTTTTTGGGACGGTACGGAAAAACATCATGCAATACAATAAACTTTCAAAATACAGTTTTTCTACCTTTTTCTTCTTGTCTTTAAATTGCTTTATTAAAGTTATCAAGTGCTCCACTAGAAACATGAAATATAAGCCTCCAAGTGCTGTAAGCCCCTTCCATGTAGAATCCAGATAAGCACTCTCTTCTGCACTTTGAAAAACAAGATGTTTGAAGAGAGAGCCTTTGTTTTGTTCAAGTAGAGGTTTTTCATGATGATGGTGATGGTTTCCATGAGACTAAGGGGAGAACCAAAAGAGGAAGTCATTATATTCAGAAGAACTGATTAATATAACAAACAAGCAACAAAAATACATATATTAAACAGACATAGAAAGTATTCCTTCTATTTTTTTCCCCTCAAGTCCAGACTTACCATGGTAACTTGCAGGGCATCTTACGTGCATGCATGCATACACACATACGTTTAGATTTTATGCGACTTCTCAGGATAAGTTCAAAATTAACTGAAAGGAAAAGGAAGAACCCTATAAAATGCAGGCAGGGTTCTGAACCCAGCAAAGGATCTGTAGCCCTTTCTAGCTAACCTCAGTCAAAATCCAGAGCAAGTTAACTTTTGGGGTGGCTTCTGCTTACAAAGAGATTCAAAAGAGATAGAAAATGAACCACCATTTCATTCTCAAAATAACGTAACAGTAATACACAAATTCAAAGGCTATCAAAGTAATGTTTTCCTCAGAACTTCAGAAATACTTAATTTTGACCAAAACTTTCTAATGGATAAGCAGTCAATGCAAGCGATTTTTTTCTAAGATTTAAAAGGAAGTGAGTTCCATATAACAACTACAAAAAGAGTCTTTTTCTCTAGAGAGGTGGAATTGGAGCAAAACTAAAGAAAATTTTGTGTAATTCTTGTGTGCAAGAAATCATGTATATTTAAGGCTGATTTTGCAAAACAGATGAACGGGGGAAAAAAAGGAAAAAACAGGGGAAAAAGCTAGGAAAGATTAAAAGATTTCAGTGTGAAGATTTTAAACTGGGAGAACATTAAATGAATAATAGAAGTAGATCCAAATGGTGAGAAAATATTCTATGTAATAATCTACTTCACAAGGTTGAGAAGTGACTCATTGAATAGATATGAAAGGTATTTAAACTATCAATGAAAACTATGGCCAGATATCAAATTTTCTATTTTGAGATATTTAACGAAATACTTACATGTGGAAGGAGATGTAAGAAAGCATCACCACTTAAAGTTCCCACAGCCAGGGCCACAAGAAAACTTAGGAGGAACTTGAAAAATACTCGATTCATCAGAGGCACCAATATAACACCCAGTAAAGAAAGAAAACTGATGACAGAGATGGATATAAAGCCACCAATCCAAGCTGGTAAGAGAGATTAAGAAGTGTTAAATGAGATTTTGGTTGCTTAACATTCCTGTATCAAATACTACTGAACATCCAATGCTAACAAATCACAAAATGCTTAAGGTTGGAAGGGACCTCTAGAGATCATCTAGTCCAACCCCCCTGCACACGCAGGGACACCCAGAGCACGTGGCACAGGACTGCGTCCAGGCAGGCTTTGAAGATCTCCAGAGAAGGAGACTCCACAGCCTCTCTGGGCAGCCTGTTCAAAGGCTCTGTCACCCTCACAGTAAAGAAGTTCTTCCTCACATGGAGATGGAGCTTCCTGTGTTTTAATTTATACCCATTTTCCCTTGCCCTGTCACCTGCCACCACCAGCTTGGCCCCCTCCTCTTTATATTCTCCCCTCAGATATTTACGCATATTGATAAGATACTCTCCCAATCTTCTTCTCTCTAGACATGGTGAGGAGAAACACCAAAAAAATATTTCAATAAAGTATGTTTCTAAAATATTATAACTAAAGGGTGTTCCACTAGGCATTTATTCTATATTAAACAAACAAATAACCAAAAAAAACCCACTTACCTATCTGCAAAGAGTAACCTTTTGGAGGAGTTTCAGCTTTTTCACTAGCTGCATGGACTATGCAGTACTTGCCATCAATCTGATTAATAATAGCTGGACAGAGATAACTAAATTCTGTAGCAGTCAACCACGCTTGTGTACCTATGCCATGGGACTGCATCAGTTTGGATGCATTGGAACACTGTGGAAAGAGATACTCAAGGTTGATCAGAACAAAAACACCACAATATCTTAAAAGAACTGCACATATCATGTTAACTGTAAATCACTGTAAAAACAGTGATGCCACATGAAAGTAGCTAAACAGTAACTAAAAACAGCTAAGACCAGCCAGACGATACATAGTTATCAGCAGAAGGAGTCAGATGCCCTGTCACTGAACTCACGAACACAATTATTCATTCAGAACAAAGAGTTAACATTCAGAAGTAGTTACGTGTGTTTTGCTGCGAGTACCGATGCCTGCACTACAAGCCTCATACCCAGTTAAACAAGCAGCTGCAACCAACAAGCTGTAACAAAATTCCTAGTTGACATCAATTCCCAAGAATGCAGAAAAGTCAGTCTCACCTCTTGGGTGTTTTGGATTTTAAACTTGGAGTACAGGTGTCTTCCTCTTTCTGATTCCTTTGCAAAAATAAGAGATTCGTTTGCTCTTCCATTAGCAAGCCAACTTGTATTATTGCTGTCTGTGGCATTAATGGCATTAGAGTTCATCAGACCTAAGCGAGCAACCGACTTTGCTCCTCCAGTTCCCAAATTCTGTAATTCGTAATTGCCATCTGTGGGAGTAGCACTGATAGACGCAGTTATTTCACTAACCGTGTGCTTGCTGTGTAACAAGTTTTGCCCATGTTCTGCATTTTCTGCTTTGTGCAGTTCCTGTAAGTGACTGTTCACAGGAACTCTGTTAGCATCATGGTCATGGTTTGGGCAAACAGTCTTCTCAGAACTTTTACTGGATGCAACGTGATTATGATGAAGGTGATGATCATGGTCGTGGTCTATTTTAATCCTTTTCATTTTATCTATACCTATGTTCTGAAGCAGTTTTCTAAATCCGTCAATCGTCAGAGTGTTGTTTTCTCCATAGCGATGGAAAAGTTCTTGAAGATGAAGTCTCTGTATTAGCCCTGCCAAGTCAACATTGATGCCAGATGCCTTTTCTAGGAGAGTTTTCTCCGCTGTCTGCACAACAGTAGCTGTTTCCACCCTGTGATGATAACTTTCACACAGCAGTACAGAAAGTGACAACAGGCACGCGACTGGTAATGTGGTCTCCATTGCAGTTTCCCACTAGAAAAGAAGATAATTCTGATTAAAAAAAAAACACTTTGCATAAAATTGATCGCCTTGTCATCTATAATGTATTTGCTAAAGGTTCAAAGCAAGAAAAGTCACTTAAACTCTTAGGTACCCAACATTCCTTACAAACGCCTGGCTTCAGGCAACCTGAGGGAAACTTCATTCTGCAACGATGTAACTGGCCACGGGCACTCCCCAGGTGTAAATAAACTTACTTCTGCTTAGCTCGGCCTAAGCCAGCTTTGTTTTTCTTAAATGCAGATTGAAGCAGCCTGTGCATCCTCTGAGCATGCTCACTGGCCTACCCATTTAGTGGCAGTTTTTCTTGTGCTTAAAAAAAAAAGCTTCGTAATACAGCTCTTCAGCCACATACTGTCAGGGAACAAGTATTCCACGTGACACACTTTGCTTAAAAGTCAGACTTCCGAGCCTTCCATCGCCCATACCCCCTCAACCCCGCAAGGGGAGGCATTTGAGGACAGTTTTGCCTGTAACCGCCGCGCAGGGGACACCCCGGGGCTGCCCGCGGCAGAGACGGGAGCCCGGCCGGGCAGCCCCTTCCCGCGGGGCGCCCTCCCAACCAGCTCGGCCCCCAGCACAGCCAGGGGCGTCAGGCTCCAGCCT